GGTGGAGTAGAAGGAAGACAAATGTATTGCCTCGGAGTTCATCATCACAGGTGAACTAGACTAGAGTTTCATGATCCACATGAGGTAAAGGAGGAGGTGGTCAAGGTCATCTCAGGTCACATCTCTGACTTTGATACAGTTGAAGATTGTCCATTCACTAAACCTATTATTGGAATTCTGGGGTAAATGCACTACCTCCCTCCCTCACCTCCTTCCTCTACATGGCCCAATGTTCTTTACTACGGAATTCACTGGTATGTTTCATCTGAAAGATAACAACTCATTATGGAAAATGTATTCTGGTTAAACGGTCTCTGCTCCCTCTTAATGAGAAGTCCACTGGTGTTGCAGATGGTCTGAGTGGACCCATATTGCCCCCCCCCCCCCCCCCCCCCCCCCCCCCCCCCCCCCAGTCAAAATGGTGCCTGGTCCTATCTAGCCACCAGCCTCAACTCCCTCCCTCCCTCTATGTCTTACTCACACCCAGCCGCCTGCAAATGAATACAAATGAGTGTTTTCATTCTGAGCTAGACGGCAAAGTATGTTATCACAAGCCTGAGTTCCTACTCTTAAAACGAACCAATCTCATCCCCATGAAAAATAAATATGATGTGGTGGAACTCTTGAAGATGCAATCGTATTGTGATCAAATTGCTTCTAATGTCCCTTAATGACTGGAGCTGAGGACAGAGGGAGAGCTTGATTGATTCAGTGAGCCAGTAGATTTGATAGATTTGTGAAGTGTTTCGGTCAGGAGTCATTGAGAGGGCATGCTCTATAACGAAACTGAAGAACAGAAAATGTATTGTATTATGATAAACTAGTAGGTTATAGGGGAGTGCTACATATTTATGTTGGATCAGGTGAGCCACTCCCTCAGACAATAGGATTATAGACAGAACACATAGCTATTAATATACTGTTTAAGGGTTGAATTAGTCGTCGTCGTCCCCCCCCCCCCCCCAACCAGTATTAATGCTCCATAAAAGCAATTTCCTCATTACTGTGGAATTCTGAGCGATGCCAGGAACATGTCAGAAATATAGAGGAGGGTTGAATAACTTACAACATGCCTCCGAGTCTGACTCCAACTATTTGCTAATGTATTTATAGTTGATGTTGCTGAAAATGTGCTTTAACCTCACAACTTAGTATATGTATCTATGTACGTGATGATGCAAATAACTATATATACTACACCTACATTTTGCCAAATCATCCTCAAGTCTCTCAATTCAACAATTTCAGCTGATCGGCTCTAACTTTATGTTTTCCTAATTATTTCTGAAAATATTTTCACACAATGATCCTATTTGGTTAACAATTTGCAGACATACCGATGTGAATTCTCAACATATTGGAGCCGGTCTGGTTAGTATATAGGTTTAGGTGAGGGGACGTCACAAGGGGATGAGCAGGCTACAATGTCTTCTATGTGAAGGCTGCCTCTGTATAAATCTCTCACTCAAAGGCCTGGGTTGACCCTCAGCCTTAGCCTTTGTTTGGCAGACGCCTTGGCCCCCTTTAATCTAGGGAGGAGATAAATCCATTGATGGACCTAGCCTGACTCAGTTGAAAGTGCTGTCTGACCATCTCCATAGATCACCATAACACAGCATGTTTGAAGTTGGGCTGGGGGGCTGTGGTGGGCTGTGCTGCATGGCGTGTGTGGGCCTGGAGAGGGGTGACGGGAGGGGGTGGGGTAGGGCTGGGGGGGCTTCCTCACAACCCAGAACAGAGTAATCAACCTGGGCCATGACCACAGACCCCACCTCCCCCTCCTCCTCAAACCATATACACTCACACCCAACCAGACCACAACAAAACCATTCCTGCTGTCCTTTTGACCACAGAGCACAAACACCATACAGGACCAGGATGGTAATCTCTCTCTCTTTCTCTCTCTCTGTGTTTCTCTCTCTCTATTCTCTCATCTTTACTAAAAGTGGGTAACACTTTACATTAAGTTGTATTTTTCACAGAGCTTCTACAGGGGTAAAAGGCAATTTAATGTAAAGTGTGACCTAAAAGTGCAATCAAAGCCAATGCAGTTCAGATGGATTTTCCTGAGATTACCCTGAGAGAGCTATCCCTTCTAACACGTACATCACGAGAGTCTATGTGTATATATGTGTCATCCAGAAGTGTATATGAACTGAGGTGAACCACTGGGAGCTCTTTAGATGTTAGCTACTGATAAAATACCTTCTTCACCCCATTACATTACTTCAGGCGCTCACACAGTGGAAGTGCTGCTCTCCCTCCTCACACTCTTATCCTTCATCAATACAGACGCTAATCTGAACACAGGGGCTAATTTTGATAGATTGTTTTAGTCTCCTCAGGGCATGTAAGGAATGACACATCAAAGACAAAAACGACGTATTATATTTCTCATGTTACAGATGTGTTTAGTCCAGTCCAGTTTATTTGTCATATGCACAGGGTACACGTGATACACAGTACAATGAAATGCTTACTTGCAGGTTCACTTTCAACAATGTAATAAAAGGAATAATACAAATAAGCTTAATGGAATAATTGTTATGGTTGTTAGGGATTTACTCGGTTAAGGATTTACTCTATTTTCTGCAGTCTCGATGGGTTGTGTTTTCCAATGCTCATGGGGAAGTCTTGAAGATGAAGGTCTTGTAGGGGCTTTTCCCTGTGGCTGCTGACATATGGAGCAGCTTTCTGCAGGTGTGTGTGTGTTCTAGACATGCAAAGTGTGTCCCTCTCTCAGCAAGCCCAACTAAGGCAAGCGAAAATAACACCCCCTGAAAATAGCTTGACAGGCATGTTAATTGCCATTCCCTGCATTAACTCTAAATGTAACTGGTTCATAAACAATAGATGCAAACTTCCCCAGCACTAGTATTAACAGAAACCTCAACAGTCCTGACTCAGTATTGAAGAAAGTATGCCACATTGATTTATGCCAAGTTAAGGTAATGGATCAAAAGGATCACAAGTCACAACAAATAATAAAAGATACTCGCCACTGAAGATACTCTTGCTATCTCACCCTCATTGTCACCCTTTTCTGTCTCCTATTTCCTTCTTCTCAGCCTCCTCTTTTTAATTACCCCTATTATTACCATCATACATCAATATACACTACCTCCACTCCATCTTTGTTGCTCAAAACTATTGTCTACACATCATTATCCTGCTGGTAATAATTTATGGTGCTCTAACACTTGACATGTTTTTCCTTAATCAACTCTAAAGTAATAGCAGAGTGATGTGGATCGTGGCTCACACTGAGGTGCCAAATCCCTTCATGTCTAGGAAGCTTCACACAAACACAGGAAGTCCAGTGTTTCAAGGCAACGGCGAGGGGAGTAGGAGTCGGAGCCGTGGCCTGCGTCTCTCTCTCTCTCCTCTGATGGGCAGCTCAGATTAACGGTGGGTGGTAAACCTGCAGCTCATACACCTCATTGTTGCAGTCCAGAAACAACCTAACCTGAGCCCAAGGTCTGCAGTGCACACTGGTTTCATTTTACATCATTGTAATGTATGGCATTGCACAGTAGTGTTCTGCTACTGGAGTGAAATTAAGGTAAACCTTTTTTATTAGGAAGTAATAAAAACAAATGGGCATGGCTCAGGATCTGTGTCAAGAGTTACTCAAAACCAACACAACTGAGAAGTTACTATAGCTAAGGCCAGAGATATACGTTAGCATATGACCTGACCAGGATTGGAAAAATTCCTGGCTCCAATTATAAGGATTAATCTAAAGCAGGGGTATTCAACTCTGACCCTACGAGGTCCGGAGCCTGCTGGTTTTCTGTTTTACCTGATAATTAATTTCACCCACCTGGTGTCCCAGGTCTAAATTAGTCCCTGATTAGAGGGGAACAATTAAAAAATGCAGTGGAACAGGCTTGGAGGTCCAGAGTTGAGTTGGAGGGATCTAAAGCATACCCTCATTTCCCTCTGAATCTATTATTCAATAGTCAATCTAAAACTCAATTGGAATGTGATCTGAGTAGTCATTCACCCCAATGCTTTTTGCTGCTTGTCTTCTCTAAAGAATGTTCAACTTGACCCAAAGAACAACCCTCCTCACTTACTCCTAAACTGCAGGAGTTGCTCGTTTTAGGATGCTTTCTGATAGAATCCACCATGGAAGCCTGGGAGGGTTTTAAAGAAACATAGTGAGATTAGCAGAGCAACAGGGACATCCAGTGGTGAGTAGATGCCTTGTTGTCGTCCTAAACTGTCTGATTAACATAGCTTCCTTGATGTCCTCATATAAATGGACTATATAAATGAAAGGGAAAACTAGTGAAAAAGTATTCGCATAAACAGCTAATGCCACCCAGGTGGAGTACTACACATTGGTGGTGAGTGCAGACTCAGTGAAAATAGCACTATTTTGCATTGGTGTGTATCTGCAGTGTTGTGATATGTATCTAACACCACTAGATGGCATATTTAGTCAAAAAATGTCCAAACCTGACTACTAAACCAGACTAAACCATGTAAAACAGACAGATGGCGCAAATGTTGCAGAAATGCAGACTTGCATATTTGGGAAATACAGCATGTTCCCAATTCCTCAAAAGGTACACAACCCATTGTTGTTTTCAATATCAATGGATGTTCTTCTAAAGATTCCCTAGGTATTTTAGAGACTTACATTGAAGATGAAATAGTTTATGCTTTGAGGTCTTGGTAAATAGCCTAGGGCTATTAGGGTTACCAATTACTTCCGTAATATGAACCCCAAAGCACAATTTCCAAAAAGGATCTTTCCAATTAATTTAACTGCTTTGACATGCAAACGTAACACATGGTTATCCATTAGTTATTTCTGAATGTGGCCAAAATCTGCTATACATGATTACATTTTTATATAATTTTGGATAACCAGTCCAGAAGTCCGAAGAGGGAGGCACCGGAGGAAAATGAAAAAAAAATAACCCTTTCGCGTGTGTACCTGAAAGCCTATTGGTCCAATTTTTTCCCCTGCTGACACAATACTGCAGACACGTACCCATCCTGTTTTTAGTCAGTTTAAGCTTGCACTTAAAAAACAAGGCTTTGACATTTGCTACCTACATAAGCACACTTTACACACTTTTAATGTCATCTTGACAAAAACTCTGCTCGCCGATTCAAATCGCTGGAAGTTGACCATGGCGGCTGCCACGAGCAGCAATACATCCACAACCACGCTACAGATCAAACATTCCAGTATCGAGCATACGCGGAAACGCATAGACCCTCGGAGGAGACAAGCCGCACTCTCTTTTCTCAGTAACATTTCTTTGGATGGTCGACCGGTGCAAGATGATGCCGACAATCATTTCGAAGAGGATAGTTCAATTGAGGAGAGGACTAGACAGAGCCTGGTTTCTGCAGCAGAGCGTCCCCTGTACGCGGCTGGCGGTGGCGCTGGAGGAGCGACCCCCACGGCCGCCCAGGCGCTCGCTATTGCAAACCAGGCTCTGATTGCTAACGCCCGAGACAGTTTTGGGATTGATCCCGCCGCTACAGCTCAAGCGTGTACAGATCCGGAAGGGGATGTTTTCGGCCCTTCGATTTTCAGTTCGCCTTTCTCTGCAGTACCAGCCGCGATTAGAGGCAGGCTTCAGACCTACACTCAGGGAGTTGTGCCTGCTGCCTTCTCTAGGCAGACTTCCCAGGGCTTCTGTTTGGAGGGAGGACAGATAGCCAACTCTGTCCTGGAGCTGCAGAGATCAAGGTAGGGTAATTGTAGATATCTCCATCATGTAGTGTTTACATTCATGACATGTGTGAATGAGATTACTGGTTGCCCATATTGGGATTGGGAATAGTGACACAAGCCCACAGTCAATGTTTGCACTGCACTCTCACAAATTATGCATGTCATAGGCTACCATATTGCAACCCAATAGTGTCAACATTACACTACAGGCTACAGTATTGCAACACTCATATTGCAATAGTCACTGAAAGTAAGGTAAGAGTTATCTTCATGAAGGTCTTTGTTGAGTGAAGCCACCAAACAGGATCCACACAGACCTAGACTAGACTAATGTTTATCATCAATTATCATCTCAGCAATAGCACAGGTTTCTCCAGTCACATTTTGTACTAGGGCTGCTCAAAGGGCATCATCAGTCTTAGTCAGTCAGTATACTGCTAAAGACAAGTTTATACAAAGAGACAGATGACAGCAAAGAGAAAGTGCCCTGGCTTTCTCTCAGATTTGTGAAACTGTATCTATCTCATCAATAAGCAACTTACACACTTGTTTGTCGATATTCATTAATATGCTGCTTACAACTGTACACCAAGACACATGCAGTGGCCCATTTGATTCAGGTGGAATCAGCAGGATTAGGTTGAAAAGGTCAACCATTGTGGAATAATTTCGATTAGCCTGCCTATTAACCAGTATGAAGCATGTGCCCTCAAATAACAGAATTTGTAAAACATGTTATATTAGTGGTAGCACTGAAACCATTTGAGAGATCATACAAGTAAAGGCATGTCCAGCAGGAAGGTGGACTTGTTTCCCCCCCTGTGCAGATGCGGTCCCCCATGCAGATTTTTCCCCATAACCGGTTGGATGACTTTACAAAGCTGTCCAGCACCTGCCACCTTGCCCTCTCACTCTCTCTCTCTCCACAGCAGGAGAGCTGTCAGGAATCCTGGACTCACTCTGTGTGCAGTAATTGTGTTTAACATGATTTTCGAATGACCACCTCATCTCTGTACCCCACACATACAATTATCTGTAAAGTCCCTCAGTCGAGCAAGAATTTCAAACACAGATTCAACCACAAAGACTAGGGAGGTTTTCCAATGCCTTGCAAAGAAGGGCACCTATTGGTAGATGGGTAAAAATTAGAAATCTATGGCAAGACTTGAAAATGGTTGTCTAGCAATGATCAACAACCAATTTGACAGAGCTGACAGATCTTGAAGAATTTTGAAAATAATAATGGGCAAATGTTGCACAATCCAGGTGTGGAATGCTCTTAGAGACTTACCCAGAAAGACTCACAGCTGTAATCACTGCCAATGGGGATTCTAACATGTATTGACTCAGGGGGTTGATTACTTATCTAATCAAGATATATGTGTATATTTTTTTTTATTGTATTTTTTCCACTTTGACATTACATATTATTTTGTGTAGATTGTTGACAAAAAATTACAACTTATCCCACTTTGTAACAAAAGTGAAGGGGTGTGAATACTGTCTGGAGGCACTGTACATTACAATGATTTAGTAGCTAAACCCCCCCAGGTTATGGAATGCGGTCGTTCAAAGGAGGAAGCCCATGTAAACTGAATTATAAGCTGTTGAGAAATAACTAAGGCGACCTGTTGAGGGACCCCGGCCATATTCCACAGACACATCATAGATGGGCGTCTCACACAGTGCCTGGTCTGTTTTCCCAGGGCAGCAGCTTGGTGGGAAAGTGGCCAGATCCAGAGAGGGAGCCTTGGCTGGGAAGAGAAAGGCAGGACGCCCAGGCTTTCAGAGACGCTGCCTGGACAGACTCTCCTTTCTCTCTGTTTCTCTCCATCTTCTGTCCTTCACTCCACTTCCTCTCCCAAGGGCACCATACTAGATACTCTTTTTTTTTTCTCCCCTCTCTCTCCTTTTCTCTCTCTCTCTTTCTCCTCCCCCCTCGCTCTCCATCGTCCTCCCTTCCCCCTCTCTCTCATGGCCTCCAGTCCTGCTCCCAGCCAGGAAGCCCCAACACTCAGATCAGCTGCCAAAAGATACTCAGAGATCAGCGCTTGGAGCTGCTTTAAAGCCATCCTCTTATTCGGTGTGCATTGATTCTAATGCATGCAGATGATGGTTGGGTCTACATAGGCTGCAGTATTCTACTGCTCAACCTAGGCTCATAAATTATGCTAGAATGTAAAAAGCCATCTAAGGCGCCCACTCTGTCTTGCTGCTACTGTAAAGGTGTCAGCCCAAGGTGTGGATCTGTTTCAACCGCTCTAAAATGAAAACTAAATTTAGCATAGTGAACATTGTTACCACAAAATCAAATTCCAATAAAATGTTATGGATTGACAGTTTTTAATCAGTAAATTATATTCTGCATTCCAAAGTCTCCCCATGTTTTAATTTTTTTTTCAGAAGTCCTCATTGTGATCAAAAGCCTACTACAGGGAGACTAGGAAGCCAAGGGAAGCAATAGCAGAGAAACCACATGCAGTATAAACCATTACAATGGTCATTTGCAGTTTTGTGCAATTGAGTCATATCCTTTTGGTTAAGAGGTTGATTGTTGTTTGGTGAGGTAATGGTTGGCATAATCACATGATTATGTAAGCTGCATACTTAGGCTAGTTTGCCTCTGAAACCCTTGTGGCTTGAACTGTAAGCGAAATCTCCAAAGCAGCTGCAGGATAGGCCTTTATGGTTAAAACGGCCACCATAATCAAACCATTACTGGTAATGAGTCTCGAGATGAGAAAGATAGACATGATGGTATACTCTTTAGTTCCAAAATGGAATACAAGTTCACTAGTTCAAGTTCCACACTGTTCACCCTAAACAACATGCTATTTAAAGGGAAGGGGGAAGTATGGATTCAGTGTGGTTTTACTGTATGTCAAGCAACCGGCGCAACTAACCACAAGGTTCTGTGTGTCTTGAACAATATAGGTCTATGTGTTGTTGTCCTTTATCCATGTCTGCAGCAGTGTTTGCCCTGTATTATTATTATTATTATTATATATTTTTTTACAGCAGTGGCAAGAATTTAGCAGCGTTGGGCCATATTTCTGCCCCCCCCCCCCCCCCCCCCCCCCCCGCTACCCTTGCCAAACTGCTACAGTAGCAGGAAGGAATTCACTGTTGTTGCAGCATTGTTGGAGAAGAAAGACTGAAGGGGCTGAGAATAGCCTTTGTTGATTTGGATTTTTACCCAAATGATTCAATTTTCTTTGGCTTGGCCTGTAATTGTAAGTAGAAGGCTAGAACATTATATTTACTTCCACTCTGTCACCCGACAGTGGAATGGGAAGACAATGTCCATGGCAAGCTGCCAATGGGCGTGCATGTGAAACAATTTAATCTTCTATGTTGAGCACTACAGCTCCTTAGCCTAAAAAGCGACAAGCATAGCAGTCAGGTTACATACAAATTGTTTTTGAATGTCCTCATAGGACGTCTATAGGAATGTTGTAAAGATTGATTCAATGGACCATGCTTGAAATTCATTGTGAATGTGAACAGTGCTTGAAAACAACCATTTGAGGCAACAAAAACACAGACAGAGGGTGTCTTTCATGGGCAGCTCTACTAACAGAGGCCCATTGTTATTCTTTCAACGTTGAAGGAGGCGATAATCGGAAGTAGCCTGGGCTCTGCTTTAAAGCTTCTGAGTTTGACCAGTCCTTGTTAACGTCAGAATGCTACTGTTCGATTGGAGTTGATTTATCATAGCACGGCCTGTTCACCCCATTAACATCTAGAAGGAGGAGACAGTACAGGTGCATCAAAGCTGTGACTGAGAGACTGATAAACAGCTTCTATCTCCAGGCCATCAGACTGTTAAACAGTCACCTGTACTGCCTCCGCCTAATACCCTACCCTGAACCGTAGTCACTGTTAATAGCTGGCTACCACCCGGTACTCTACCCTGCACCTTAGAGACTGCTTTGCCCTATGTACAGAGTCATTGAAAGCTGGTCACTGCTGTACACACCTTTTCTATTAATATACTGTCCATACTGTCTATACACACCATTAAAAAAATATATATATTTATATATACAAAAGTATGTGGACACCGCTTCAAATTAGTGGATTCGGCTATTTCAGCCACACCCGTTGCTGACAGGTGTATAACATTGAGCACACAGCCATGCAATCTCCATTGGCAGTAGAATGGCCTTACTGAAGAGCTCAAGTGACTTTCAATGTGGCACCGTCATAGGGTGCCACTTTTCCAACAAGTCAGTTGGTCAAATTTCTGCCCTGTTACAGCTGCTCCGGGCAACTGTAAGTGCTGTTATTGTGAAGTGGAAACATCTAGGAGCAACAACGGCTAAGCCACGAAGTGGTATGCCACACAAGCTCACAGAACGGGACCGCTGAAGAGCATAGTGCGTAAAAAATAATCTGTCCTCGGTTGCAACACTCACTGGAAACTGCCTCTGGAAGCAACGTCAGCACAATAACTGCTCGTCGGGAGCTTCATGAAATGGGTTTCCATGGCCGTACAGCTGCACACAAGCCTAAGATCACCATGCGCAATGCCAAGCGTCGGCTGGAGTGGTGTAAATCTCGCCGCCATTGGACTCTGGAGCAGTGGAAACGCGCTCTCTGGAGTGCTGAATCACGCTTCACCATCTGGCAGTCCGACAGACGAATCTGGGTTTGATGGATGTCAAGAGAATGCTACCTGCCCCAATGCACAGTGCCAACTGTAAAGTTTGGTGGAGGAGGAATAATGGTCTGGGACTGTTTTTCATGGTTCGGGCTAGGCCCCTTAGTTCCAGTGAAGGGAGTTCTTAATGCTACAATGACATTCTAGACGATGCTGTGCTTCCAACTTTGTGGCAACAGTTTGGGGAAGGCCCTTTCCTGTTTCAGCATAACAATGGCCCTGTGCACAAAGCGAGGTCCACACAGAAATGGTTTGTCGAGAGCCCTGACCTCAACCCCATCGACCACCTTTGGAATGAATTGGAATGCCGACTGCGAGCCAGGCCTAATCGCCCAACATCCGTGCCCGACCTCACTAATGCTCTTGTGGCTGAATGGAAGCAAGTCCTCACAGCAATGTTCCAACATCTAGTGGAAAGCCTTTCCAGAAGAGTGGAGGCTGTTATAGCAGCAAAGGGGGGACCAACTCCATATTAATGCCCATGATTTTGAAAGAGATGTTTGACGAGCAGGTGTCTGCATACTTTTGGTCATGTATATTCCGGACTCATTATGATATTTCTTCATTTCTTTCTTACTTTTTGGATTATGCGCGTATTTCTAGGTATCATTACTGCACTGTGGGAGCTAGAAACACAAGCATTTCGCTGCACCTACGATAACATCTGAAAATCTGTGGATGCGTCGTGACCAATAAACTTTGATTTGATTTGACACGCAGTTAAACATCAATAGCTGATTGTGTCACAGTCTTGTTTGAAGTGGATGAGTAGTCTGGTCCGTGGTCCGTGTGTTATTGTTTCCACAGTTTGCGCGGGTGTGGAAAACATCCTTTGCACGTCCTGGCTGGCCTGCCGTTGTTCATCTACAGTGTCTGGATCTGAGCATCCTGCTGAACTGTGGAAACTAGTTTTCATGCCAGCTGGATTTTCAAAGGGCTTAGTTCATCAGTACTGTACAAACTGCGAAAGAAAAACCTAGTAGTCAAAATAATACTTTTATTCTGTTCAAAAATGAAATTATTAACCTAATAATGTGTCATGTCAATAGATAGATTAGAGTACCTGGAACGAGATCATGTTATGTTTGTAACACAGTGAGGGCTGTATTTGTTCAGCTGACTGCTACAGGCTAGCTGTTCTGGTTAACTTGTTCTCCAGGGTGAAGGTGGAGAGACATAGCTAAGACATGGGTTTTATTTCAGTTGCTCTGCTCTGTGCAGCTGACGAATGTCTCACCTCACCATCAGGGATGTTAACCTTAGCATGTTAGCCCAGCTATAGCAGGCTAGGAATGTAAGCATGATGGTAGCCATCCTATCCATCACTCAGGGTTCTCACTGGAGGATGTTGCCGGGCCTGACGACCATAAATTACTTGACGATCCATGATCAATCAATCCAATGTATTTTATAAAGCCCTTTTTACATCAGCAGTTGTCACAAAGTGCTATACAGATACTCTTCTGGCTGTGCCAGGTGGCGATTATAAGAGTATATGGCCATTAAGGCCAGATCGTTCATCAAGACGTTCATAGATGACCAGCTGGGTCACATAATAACCACAGTGGTTAGAGAGGGTGCAGCAGTTCAACACCTCGGGAGTAAATGTCAATGATCCATCTCTTTGACCTTCACAGAGATGTTGGTGATGTGATGAGTTCATGTAGGCTACATGCTTTCCTTCATTACTTACTTTCCTGCCATGTTTCTCTCAAAAGAGAGGTTCTCAACTTCAAGAGATTATCCTTTTTAACCAACTTCAAGAGATTATCCTTGTTAAATATAAACATGTAAATTAACAAATTCCTCCATCTCAGTGCAGAGTGGATGTATGCCGTCTAGTTGACCATGTTTACAATTTCTGGCACATCTCAGTGCTTGATGTTTTATAACTTATTTCCTTTACGATTGCTGTTTCTAACCACATTCCCTTGTAAACATTATGTAGTCTCACCTACAGTGGGGGAAAAAAGTATTTAGTCAGCCACCAATTGTGCAAGTTCTCCCACTTAAAAAGATGAGAGGCCTGTAATTTTCATCATAGGTACACGTCAACTATGACAGACAAGTTAAGAAAAAATGATCCAGAAAATCACATTGTAGGATTTTTAATGAATGTATTTGCAAATTATGGTGGAAAATAAGTATTTGGTCACCTACAAACAAGCAAGATTTCTGGCTCTCACAGACCTGTAACTTCTTCTTTAAGAGGCTCCTCTGTCCTCCACTCGTTACCTGTATTAATGGCACCTGTTTGAACTTGTTATCAGTATAAAAGACACCTGTCCACAACCTCAAACAGTTACACTCCAAACTCCACTATGGCCAAGACCAAAGAGCTGTCAAAGGACACCAGAAACACAATTGTAGACCTGCACCAGGCTGGGAAGACTGAATCTGCAATAGGTAAGCAGCTTGGTTTGAAGAAATCAACTGTGGGAGCAATTATTAGGAAATGGAAGACATACAAGACCACTGATAATCTCCCTCGATCTGGGGCTCCACGCAAGATCTCACCCCGTGGGGTCAAAATGATCACAAGAACGGTGAGCAAAAATCCCAGAACCACACGGGGGGACCTAGTGAATGACCTGCAGAGAGCTGGGACCAAAGTAACAAAGCCTACCATCAGTAACACACTACGCCGCCAGGGACTCAAATCCTGCAGTGCCAGACGTGTCCCCCTGCTTAAGCCAGTACATGTCCAGGCCCATCTGAAGTTTGCTAGAGTGCATTTGGATGATCCAGAAGAGGATTGGGAGAATGTCATATGGTCAGATGAAACCAAAATAGAACTTTTTGGTAAAAACTCAACTCGTCGTGTTTGGAGGACAAAGAATGCTGAGTTGCATCCAAAGAACACCATACCTACTGTGAAGCATGGGGGTGGAAACATCATGCTTCGGGGCTGTTTTTCTGCAAAGGGAGCAGGACGACTGATCCGTGTAAAGGAAAGAATGAATGGGGCCATGTATCGTCAGATTTTGAGTGAAAACCTCCTTCCATCAGCAAGGGAATTGAAGATGAAACGTGGCTGGGTCTTTCAGCATGACAATGATCCCAAACACACCGCCCGGGCAACGAAGGAGTGGCTTCGTAAGAAGCATTTCAAGGTCCTGGAGTGGCCTAGCCAGTCTCCAGATCTCAACCCCATAGAAAATCTTTGGAGGGAGTTGAAAGTCTGTGTTGCCCAGCGACAGCCCCAAAACATCACTGCTCTAGAGGAGATCTGCATGGAGGAATGGGCCAAAATACCAGCAACAGTGTGTGAAAACCTTGTGAAGACTTACAGAAAACGTTTGACCTGTGTCATTGCCAACAAAGGGTATATAACAAAGTATTGAGAAACTTTTTTTATTGACCAAATACTTATTTTCCACCATAATTAGCAAATAAATTCATTACAATGTGATTTTCAGGAGAAAAAAAATCTCATTTTGTCTGTCATAGTTGACGTGTACCTATGATGAAAATTACAGGCCTCTCTCATATTTTTAAGTGGGAGAACTTGCACAATTGGTGGCTGACTAAATAAAATTGTTCCCCACTGTATGTGGTATAAAGACTATGTTTAATCATCCTCTGTTGGTTTAGGCTTGCTTACTGCTAGGAGTTTGTCAAGGACACAGTCATTTTTAGTTAATTTGTTCTGTAGTTGATTAACCAGCCTGAGGGCATACTCTGTGATCATCAGCTCATTCTTTCTGTCTCACTGAATTAGTCATTGAAGAGGGGACAAGTCAAGTTGAGTGTCATTGAGTCACATTTAAATAAGTGAAAGCTTGGTGACAACTGACAAGCAGGCTGGCAGGAGTTGTGCAATATGTTTTTTCTATAGCAATGGGCTAATAGATTTTGCCTTGGCTGTTGAGTCATGCAACCCAAGTGTGAAAGAAAGGCCTGTCTGTGAGGAAACAGTGTTACGACAAAATGAACCATCCAATGTCTTAATCCTCTTATGGCGTATTTCCATACAGGATTTACCTCAGTGTTTTACCCAAAAGGCTCAGACTACTCTGTTTCCATCTATGTGGGCCGGCACCCGTGTCTCACTGGGCCATGGCCACTGGTACTTTTCAGCCACCATTTACATAACAATTGCTAACTGTGAACTTTAACACCTTCTCACAAAGCAACTGTTTTGATTATGCAGAGGTTGTTGATTCTGCTAGCTATGGCTAACTGTGAACTTTAACACCTTCACACAAAGCAAATGTTTTGATTATGCAGACGTTGTTGATTCTGCTAGCTATGGAAACACAATTTCCTTAGTATAACGTATGTATACACTGATGTTAGTCGAAAAGCAGCATTAGTTACCAACTAAACCAGTGCCTTACTCTAGATTAGAATGTTCTAACCATTCTACATGATCTCACACATAGAGGCTGCTGGTCAGAATTTAGAACACAACAGTGATCATTGACCACAGCAGCCAGCCAGTCACACAGTGCTGATGTCAGTGATTACTTGATTCAATGATTACAGCTCTGCTTTGTAAGTAAGCCACTGTGTCTGACAAGATAGCACAGCACAAAGCCATAGAAGCTTTAGCTATGCTTCACATCAGACTTGGAGGTACTCTACATGGGCCAGATGTAAGAGGTCGAGTTAGTTTAGGCTACTCATTCATTCTCCAGACCGTTAAAGAAGTATGAAAATTATTGTTATGGATGATCGTTGTTGCTTTTAGATCTTCAATGATTTGTGTTCAAAACAGTACAACGTAGACATTTTTTGGAAGGTTTCCCAATACTGATACAATGGAGGTCAACCAGTGGATTTGGGTAGAACTACCTTGCTTGCTGTTAGATAAGGAATGATGTGGTTTATACCATTAAGTAGGAAGAAATGTGTTCAGGATTTATCATGAACAAGGAACCTCACTCTATTGACATTTAGGCCTCTTTGCAAAATCCCATGATTAAGAGTGCTATGACCATTTAATTACATCACCACATTTCTTTCTCTGTTATGGTAAGCCAAGGGTTTGAACCTGCATAATCATTACCATAATTTAGCAATCATATTTAGCAAATATCTTGCAATGCAGAATGAATTATTATAAATAGGCCTAATACATATTGTGTCCAGTCTTTCCTATTACAGGGCCAGGTAGAACTGTTTAGCAGCATCGCAAGTTGCTTGTAAACTCAAAACCAGCAACCAGCTCCTTATTTCTCTCTCTCCCTCTTTTCCTCACTCCTTTTCTCCACAGACGGAGGCTCATCTCTCAGCGTTCCTCCTTGGAGACACTGGAAGACATTGAGGAGAACGCTCCTCTACGCAGGTACTGCATAGCAACAACTGTCACAGATCTCACAAGTCGGCACACCACCCAGAAACATACGTTTGATTTGCTCATATTCTCCTCTCATTTTAGAGCGGTACTCAAAGTCAATAACAGCTTTGGCCTGGGAAGTATTTTGTTAGATGGTTACATTGGGGGAACTGTAATTTAACTTCAGTTTGCTATATGGAGCCGTTTTGTGTCCTGTGGGGAGGTGGTGGTGCGAACATCAGGCTACACTTGCTGCTGTAATGGCATGGTCTGGCTCAGTCTCTGTGTTTTACAGTTGTTAAAAAGATACACTACCAGTCAAAGGTTTGGACACACCTACTCATTCAAGGGTTTTTCTTTATTTTAACTTTTTCTTTTTTTTACATTGTAGAATAATAGTGAAGACATCAAAACTATGAAATAACACATATGGAATCATGTAGTAACCAAAAAAGTGTTAAACAAATCAAAATAGATGTTATATTTGATATTCTTCAAATAGCCACCCTTTGCCTTGATGACAGCTTTGCACACTCTTGTCATTCTCTCAACCAGCTTCACGAGGTAGTCACCTGGAATGCATTTCAATTAACAGGTGTGCCTTCTTAAATGTTAATTTGTGGAATTTCTTTCCTTAATGCGTTTGAGCCAATCACTTGTGTTGTGACAAGGTAGGGGGGTATACAGAAGATAGCCCTATTTGGTAAAAGACCAAGTCCATATTATGGCAAGAACAGCTAAAATAAGCAAAGAGAAACGACAGTCCGTCATTACTTTAAGACATGAAGGTCAGTCAATACGGAACATTTCAAGAACTTTGAAAGTTTCTTCAAGTGCAGTCGCAAAAACCATCAAGTGCTATGATGAAACTGGCTCTCATGAGGAACACCACAGGAATGGAAGACCCAGAGTTACCTCTGCTGCAGAGGATAAGTTCATTAGAGTTACCAGCCTCAGAAATTGCAGCCCAAATAAATGCTTCAGAGTTCAAGTCACAGACACATCTCAACATCAACTGTTCAGAGGGGACTGTGTGAATCAGGCCTTCATGGCCGAATTGCTGCAAAGAATCCACTACTAAAGGATATCAATAAGAAGAAGAGACCTGCTTGGGCCAAGAAATATGAGCAATTAGACCGGTGGAAATGTGTCCTTTAGTCTGGAGTCCAAATTTGAGATTTTTGGTTCAAACTGCTGTGTCTTTGTGAGACGCGGTGTGGGTGAACGGATGATCTCCGCATGTGTAGTTCCCACCGTAAAGCATGGAGGAGGAGGTGTGGGGGTGCTTTGCTGGTGACACTGCCTGTAATTTATTTAGAATTCAAGGCACACTTAACCAGCATGACTAACACAGCATTCTGCAGCGATACGCCATCCCATCTGGTTTGGGCTTAGTGGGACTATCATTTGATTTTCAACAGGACAATGACCCAACACTACTCCAGGCTGTGTAAGGGCTATTTTACCAAGAAGGAGAGTGATGGAGTGCTCCATCAGATGATCTGGCCTCCACAATCCCCAGACCTCAACCCAATTGAGATGGTTTGGGATGAGTCGGACGGCAGAGTGAAGGAAAAGCAACCAACGAGTGCTCAGCATATGCGGGAACTCTTTCAAGACTGTTGGAAAAGCATTCCAGGTGAAGCTGGTTGAGAGAATGCCAAGAGTGTGCAAAGCTGTCATCAAGACAAAGGGTGACTATTTGAAGAATCTCAAATATAACACTTTGTTTTGGTTACTACATGATTCCATGTGTTATTTCATAGTTTTGATGTCTTCACTATTATTCTACAATGTAGAAAATAGTAAAAATAAAGAAAAATCCTTGAATGAGTAGGTGTGTCCAAACTTTTCACTGGTAATGTATGTTTTGGTCTTTTACTGCTCCAAATGGATCCCAATGAATCACATTTGTTTTGATCTGTCTTGAATGTATTTGTTGTGTTTTTAGATGCAGAACCCTCTCAGGTTCACCCCGACCAAAGAGCTTCAAAAAGGTCCACTTCATCAAGAACATGAGGCAACATGATATGCGCAATGGAAGGTATGAATGAAAACAACCCCATCCCTAATTCAATACAAACCTTCAATGGAAAATGGCAGGATGCACAGCAGTTTGAATACCTCTCAGGTTACTGAAATCTACTAGAGATGTAGGTCACTTATTCTAAGCTATTCCTTATTGCTTGGTAGTATAAAACAATTTACTATTGATTGATAAATGATCCTATTGAATTATAAATATGACTGCTCAGCAGTTCATTGAAAGATCTGTTAATTTTCACAGAAATTAATTCTCTCAAATTGAGTTCAGATTTCATATTGTATATATTATTAAAGCTATACATTGACGACCACACCATTGAATCACAAATGAGTCACGAAACACATTACACTATCTCACTTTTATAAACAATGATGCATGCACTTTCACTTAGAAATTCCAGAGCACTGAAGACATTTGGTCACACAGATGTTACAATGATTTTTTTGATGTAGCAAGTGTACAGCAGCTTCTCTCAGTAATAAATACTATAGCCTTTTATGGATATTTCCTGGAATCTAAAAGGAATTGGACGGTTAAACTATTACAGATTATTCAACTCGGTTTTTATTCTGGATGTTTTGGGCTACAAGCCTCAAGCTTCTTTTACACTTGGGTGTAGCTCAGTTGGTAGAGCATGGCGTTTGCAACACCAGGGTTGTGGGTTCGTTTCCCACGGGGGGCCAGTATGAAAATGTATGCACTCACTAACTGTAAGTCGCTCTGGATAAGAGCGTCTGCTAAATGACTAAAATGTAAAATGTGCCAGACCTATTTATTTTGATGAATTATTATATATCTGTCTTGACAGGTATTTGAATGGGTGCAAAGCCATTATTTTGGCCCAGGAATAAAAAGGAGTGTGATGTTACTAGAATATGATGATATATTCTGTCTTCTTCATAGTAGCTTTTAATAAAGCTTCTTTCTGGTTTCGAGGTGGTTGAATTTGGACAGCAACTATCCAGTTGTTGTTTTTATTTGCTCTTATCTAGCTTATCATTGTGCCATATACAGCAGTAATGAATTGCTATAAATCCCATTCTGCCAGTGACGTTGATATTGATCAGTGAGTAGGCCTCTTATTGTATGTCATAACTCAAAAAGTATAAATCAGTGATTAAGTTTTATGAAGCAATTTCTCAACAAATTGCAGCAGCAGTTATGCAAACCACTTATTTCGGGAGTGGTTCAACTTTACTGTACTATAGGGGTTTCTACCTCGCGTGCAGCTGCTATTCTGATATTGTAAGATAAACAAGTTTGGTCTTGTTTAGTCTCCAATGCAAGACATGGCTAGTAGCCTCATTTGAAAAGATCTGCATCAGTTTGTCCCCAAACCTCTGACTACATACAACATACTCCACAACACACTCACACAACACATATAAAAAAACCGTATTTCATTTAGTTTTCTAAATCTTGATTGTTTTACTGCTCACGTTTTCCTCCATCTTAACCTTTAAATCTGAGTGTCTTTTTCACATAGTTCATTCTTAATTAGCATATTTCTATCATTTTTGTTTTTATAGGATAGTCCTAATCAGTGGCAGAAGATCCTTGTATAGTGTATTTTCTGTCCTGCCCTATCGAGATTGTAGCCAAGCAGGGTATGTATCCTACAGCATGCCAACCTCAATTTTGCCATCCTTCGTTCCCTGCTTTCCCTCTGTTCTCGCATCCCTTTTGTTTCTGCCGATTATATAACTGGTACTTTATAACATTGGGAAGGGGAAAACATTATTACAATGAACAATGTCCTACACGGGTTGGTTTTGGTGGATGCATTTTTACTACAACAAAATAAATGTTTGTAAGAGAGATGAACAAGTAATCTACTGAATTAATTAACTTAAAAGTAATGAATCACACCCATTGAAGGCTTGTATCCATTTCGCTATGTTTTCATGTAGGCCTGTAGTTTGCTGTTGGCTGTATCTAGGCTATTTGTCTTTGGAAGACGTCATGAAGTTGTTTAGTTTCATTCTAATACGACATCGTTTTGCCCGTTGCAACCATCTCTGGCTTTGCTGTTATCATGTAGGCTGCACCTTTCCTCAATTCCTTGCTGCCCTCAAAGATTCCGTAGCATGCTTTTATCTCAGCACTTTCACTCTTTGCATGCACTTTGCTGCAATTGCATAACACACATTACATTTCGGAGTGGACCCAAATGATCCATCCATAGCAGAGCATTATGTCGTTTCTGTTTGGAGTTTACACATGACATCCCAGTTTGTTGTTGATCATATTGTTTTCCTCCCTGTGCGGTTAGAGATTATATTTCTCCCTGTGCAGTTAGAGATTATATTTCTTGGCCCTTGGTTCAGACTCCTTCGTGTTATGGGAACCCATGGTAGTCCTGAACACTCTCCGGCCTGGTATATGGTACTCCTGAGTGGTGCAGTGGTCTAAGGCACTGCATCGCAGTGCTAACTGTGCCACTAGAGATCCTGGTTCGAATCCAGGCTCTGTCGCAGCCGGCCGTGACCGGGAGACTCATGGGCGGCGCACAATTGGCCCAGCGTCGTCCAGGGTAGGGGAGGGAATGGCCGGCAGGGATGTAGCTCAGTTGATAGAGCATGGCGTTTGCAACGCCAGGGTTGTGGGTTCGTTTCCCACGGGGGGCCAGTATATAAAAAAAAAATATATATATATATTCACTAACTGTAAGTCGCTCTGGATAAGAGCGTCTGCTAAATGACTAAAATGTAAATGTAATGTAAATGTATATAGCTTCCCACCTGGCCTGCCTACTAGCCTCCCTGCCTGCCTGGGGAAAGAGGCAGTGTTGATCTGACCTGGGGCCTGGTGCCCCCTAATGAAAGAGCTTGTTTTGGAGGAAGCGAGAAAGAAAAATAAGTGATTAACACAGAGAATACAATGGACAGAGAGAAAGAAAGCACCATTCAGGGAGCTTAGAGAGGAGCATAACAGGGTAATTTATGCGGCGTAATCTTCCTAAGCCTAGCCATACGACGAGGCGTTAAAGAGCTAATGAAGCCTCTAGTGAATCCAATAGCCCCATTCCTGACTGCCCAATGCTGCTAACTGGCAGTTGAGATTGCTTGGCCGAGTGTCGTTGCAGCAAAATGTACTTTATTGACTATGTAGAGAACTGACCAAGCTAAAATACCATGCCCAGTCTTGTACTCAGAACCATGTAGGCCTAAAATAATAATGATCTAAATGATGTCCATGAGACAGAGAACGAGACTGTGAACAAGCCCAAGCTTCTGTCTTTTAGGACTTTTTCCTGCATTTCCCACTTTCTTGCCCCAATAACTGGGTGATTCAATTGCCTTGTTAATTAGCTCAGTCCTCTGGGGCAATATGGCACTGTGGAATTCTGGGAACATGGAATGCTAGCTTCTCTTAGGTTCTCTATCTGGTCTTAATTCCACATTCCTTTTTTTAGAGCTCCCATTTATTTTCTGTGTGATAGATAGAGAGATAGAGATGCTGAGGTAGAGTCTAGACCCTAGACAGAAGACTGTTTGGCAGGGGGAGTGGGTTTTAGGGGAAGGGGTGTCTAAAGGTTTTGTGCCCCGGCAGGGATGTGAAACTGGAAGGCGGGCGGCAGCGGCACCCCTCGGGCGGGGTCAGTGCCAAGGAGATGGTGATCGGGCTGGAGGGAGTGGAGCTGGGGGCGGATGGAAAGGTGAGAGAGGACGGGAGACATACATCCTTTCCTCCTTACTTTCAGTTACAGATCAGTTATCACCTCAAGAAAGAGAATAGGGAAGGATTGTCTGAGTATGAGGTTTAAACAGAGGTCCGGACAGAGGTTTAAACAGAGGTCCGGACAGAGGTTTAAACAGAGGTCCGGACAGTGGTCCAATAACATGCTGTTAAAATGTGAGTATGTCTCTCTCTCCACAGACTGTGTCGTACACCCAGTTCCTGTACCCCACCAACGCCCTGGGCAGCGGACGCAGGAACACCATCGACTCCACGTCATCCTTCTCTCAGTCTCGTAACGCCAGCCACCGCAGCCTCAGCCTTGGCCGGGCCAACAGCAACCAGAGCAGCATCGACACAGGTCAGTTGTAGGAGTGTGTGGATCCTCTGGAGTAGTTGTGGCATTCATATAGGTCAGTGTGTGGATCCTCCGCCCTGGAGAGAGCCCCTGAATAGGTGTATGTCAGAGTGAGGATGATACATATCACTTTCTCCCATCCACAGTGTGAAGTTTTAGTTTATCAGTTACTTGCTCAACATTGAGGGCTTGACTATGTATTAGAAGAAATGGAAAAACACCATTTTTATTTCTCGGCCCCAAAGTTTGCTTGTCCCTGGCTCATTGTGTGACTGTAATATAGAATAATAATATATGCCATTTAGCAGACGCTTTTAGTCATTTGTGCATAGATTTTACATACGAGTAGTCCCGGGACTGTGACCTTTTTTCCTCTGCAGGGAATGATCTGGGGGACTTGATCCGGGAGTATGACCCCAGTCTGTTGGAAGATCCCCAGTGGCCGTGTGGGAAGCACAAGAGAGTCCTCATCTTCCCCTCCTACATGGTAAGAGACCACTCTACTTACCAGACCTGGGTTCAAACAGTATTTGTTTCCTTTAAAGTACTTAGTGTTTTATTGAGCCTGCCTTTATGCCACATGGACAGGGTTTGTTCTTGGGACAATTCCATTGGTTCCATTGCGCCAGACAACTCAATCTAGCACAGCTAAAGTATTTGAAACCAGATCTGCTTGTTGTGCATGTTGCTCTCTTCACAACCAGGGATGTTTTTATTTATTCCGGCCTGTCAAGAGTCCACCTTATGTAAGTAAGTGTAATGGGAATTAGGCTATTTGTGGTCAAGGACATTGTATTGTTGAATGGATCCACTATCAGTGGTATTTCTTCCATTCGTTTGTATCAAGTCATGAGATATCTTGCTTGTTTTTCAGATTATTATTATTATTTTATATTTTTCAGAAAAATAACTAAGAGACCAACCAACTCCTATTTATAATCACATACTGCCTCATACTGAATCAACTGAACTCACTGTAAGCCATAAGAGTCTGTTTGACTGACCATTCTAATCAGCAAGGTCATTTGCCCAATCCCTGGCTCAGCTCCCACTCCTACTAGAGTCTGTGGTGTGTGAATACACTCTGTCTTTCTACCCAGTAGCTCTTTAAGCAGCCACCATCATAACAGCTAGGTTGCTTCCGAAATGGCACTACTTTTGACCAGGGCCAATAGGGTGTTGGTCAAAAGTAGTACACTATATAGGGAATAGAGTGCCGTTTCAGGCAAACCTCTAGTGTTGTGTTTCTCCGTTCCTGTTCCTGTGGCCATACCACTGTTAGTTGGTCGGGCGGCAGGTAGCTTAGTGGTTAAGAGCGTTGTGCCAGTAACCGAAAGGTCGCTGGTTCTAATCTGTCGATGTGCCCTTGAGCAAGGCACTTAACCCTAATTGCTCCTGTAAGTCGCTCTGGATAAGAGCGTCTGCTAAATGACCAATTATTATTTATTTATTTATTTAATCACTTTCTCATGTCCAGAACTTCGGAAGGGAACGGTAGTTTTATTGTGTTCAAATCAAAGCAACAACAACAGACTCCCAGTTCATTTCTCATTTGGCTCTATTGGTGTTATCTGGACTGACAGAATACACAGACCAGACATGAAGTATTAAGTCAAGACCAGACTGTGTGGTTTATTCTCTTCCTCACAACAATTCAAGAGCTTGGGACTATAAGGTTCTATCTGCAAAAAGATGATTCAGAGATAATTGGCTTTAAAGTTCCAAACCCTCTTTGATTTTAATGATGTCAGCCATTTTTTATCTTGTATTCTTTTTAACTTAGAAACATGAATTGGGGGTATTTAGAGTACTATATACAGTTGAAGTCGGAAGTTTACATACACTTAGGTTGGAGTCATTAAAACTCGTTTTTTCAACCACTCTTTCTTCAAATTTCTTGTGAACAAACTATAGTTTTGGCAAGTCGGTTAGGACATCTACTTTATTTACAATTATTTACAGACAGATTATTTCACTTATAATTCACTGTATCACAATTCCAGTGGGTCAGAAGTTTACATACACTAAGTTGACTGTGCCTTTAAACAGCTTGGAAAATTCCAGAAAATGATGTCATGGCTTTAGAAGCTTCTGATAGGCTAATTGACATCATTTGAGTCAATTGGAGGTGTACCTGTGGATGTATTTCAAGGACTACCTTCAAACTCAGTGCCTCTTTGCTTGACATCATGGGAAAATCTAAATAAACCAGCCAAGACCTCAGAAAGGACCACGCAGCCTGCTTTGCTGCAGGAGGGCCTGGTGCACTTCACAAAATAGATGGCATCATGAGGATGGAAAATTATGTGGATATATTGAAGCAACATCTCAAGACATCAGTCAGGAAGTTAAAGCTTGGTCGCAAATGGGTCTTCCAAATGGACAATGACCCCAAGCATACTTCCAAAGTTGTGGCAAAATGGCTTAAAGACAACAAAGTCAAGGTATTGGAGTGGCCATCACAAAGCCCTGACCTCAATCCTATAGAAAATCTGTGGGCAGAACTGAAAAAGCGTGTGCGAGCAAGGAGGCCTACAATCCTGACTCCGTTACACCAGCTCTGTCAGGAGGAATGGGCCGACATTCACCCAACTTATTGTGGGAAGCTTGTGGAAGGCTACCTGAAACGTTTGACCCAAGTTAAATAATTTAAAGACAATGCTACCAAATACTAATTGAGTGTATGTAAACTTCTGACCCACTGGGAATGTGATGAAAGAAATAAAAGCTGAAATAAATCATTCTCTCTACTATTATTCTGACATTTCACATTCTTAAAATAAAGTGGTGATCCTAACTGATCTAAGACAGGTAATTTTTACTAGGATTAAATGTCAGGAATTGTGAAAAACTGAGTTTAAATGTATTTGGCTAAGGTGTATGTAAACTTCCGACTTCAACTGTAGGTAGAGAACATTGACCAGAACAAGGCTATGTCAATCATTTTTTGGGGACAAAAATGCAGATAGAACCTTATATTCCCAAGCTCTCGATTAGCTATTGTTTACACTCAAGGAATATGACCAGTGGGTTCTGAAAACTACACTCCACCATCAGTTGCTGTTCTTATCTAAGTACCATTACTTTTTTTCTAGGGCTGTCAAATGATAAAAATATTTAATTGAGTTAATGGCATTAGTGAATTGCAATTTTTTTATTTGCTCAAATTTGGCCCAAAATAAAGCTTTTTTTCATTTAAAAAGCAGTGCATTGAGTTACACTGCTTTGAAACACAAATGATCTACATCAGAATGTTTTAATAGCATTTTCACCATAAACAACACAACATTTACTGTAAAATACAGCTATTAATGCTCCCAATGTTTAGATAGGCCTACTCCCTCTTATCAATGTTCTTGAAGTTTAACACTTGCGCACAACACACACACACACACTCTCTCGTTCACACACGCGCACACACACAGTTTTAAGTACTGTTAAAGCTTCAGGCATTCTAAATGAGTGTGACAAATATAACTGGCTCAATGGATACAAAGAACAAAGAGCTTTTAAACTTGTCCAACAATGTTCTGAAAACGCTGTAACCATCTGTACTGTTCCGATAACTTTACACACATAGGCCTTCACACTTTCCCACCCTCCCACATCCTCTCTCTCTCACAGGGTTAGCTTGTTATGCATGGCCCGGTGCCCAGGGTGGGCGGAGTTTGCACATTTTAGGCCATTCCATTGGTCCTTAGGTGAAATCTCCACCCACCCGGAGCACCAGGCCATTTTATTTATTTTTTTAACCTTTATTTAACTAGGCAAGTCAGTTAAGAACAAATTCTTATTTACAATGATGGCCTACACCGGCCAAACCCGGACGACGCTGGGCTAATTGTGCGCCGCCCTATGGGACTCCCAATCACGGCCAGTTGTGATACAGCCTGGAATCGAACCAGGGGGTCTGTAGTGACACTGCGCCACTCGGTAGCCCATGCCATACAAAACGAACTCATCCACATACTCCCGCTCTCACACATCCTCTACACACCCCACTCTTGCATATGCAGCCTACCTTTTGAAACCTTTATTTGAGTAGCCTATCCCTTTTCAGTTCTTCCTGTGTCATCCAAATGTGTGCATAGACTAGTCAGTGGTCAAGTAATCAGGTTGCTAGCTAGCCACATGGTCTTCAGCACTGTAAAATCGCAAGCATTGACTGTAGCTGTGTTCCGTGTTGTTTTCTGCTCTTAAAAGGGTCCGTGCGGTGAAGAAATGGAGACTCAATTAACGTTATAATAGTTTTTTTGCCGATAAACATGTTATTAATGCGTTAACTTTGACAGCCCTACTTTTTTATCTTTCTTGAACTGATCTTTCAGGTTCTACTTCTAACTGTATCATGAGATGCAAATCATTTTAGTATGTTTAGTTTCCTTTGTGATCAAGTAAATATCTATAAATCACATTCCTTTCGGTTAGAAATGCTCCCTGTAGGTTCCCCATAGTAGCCACAAGTTTGCTGCAGTAGTCAAAGTACTAAGTACTTTGTATTACAAATAGCTGTTGGTATATTTTGAACTCTGATGGGGAGCTGCATGGAGGAATACTATCTATGACCAAAAATACCAAGTTACAAATACTAGTTTGATAAGTCATATTACTGCAAGCTTGAGCAAAGCAAATTACTTGGCATGAGCCAACTTGGGAAATATGCTGTAATTTCATAATTGTTATCTCTCTCTCTTATCACATACCCAGATTTAGTGGGTCAACTGCAGTGCTCCTTCTATCTTCCTAGATAACAGTTGAGCCTCTGACCTGAAATAAAGTTCAATGGCTAAAATACAGTAGGGGAGAGTGGGGTAAGTTTAGCCATTTTGTTAAACATTCGGCATCATTCTGTCAAGGGAAATATAGTATTCTTTCTAACAAAGATATCTACATATATTTCAGGATGTTGTGTATCCCAGGAAATAATCAGTATTCATGTAAACATTACAGCTTGTCACTTTTTTGTCTCTTAATTATTTTAAGCATCTTTTAACACAGGTTTAACACCTAACAAATACTTAGAACTTTATTAAAACACTTTTAACATAGGCCAGGTCCTGTTGTTACCTCATATCCCAGAGTTAATGCCTTGCACAACGCCTGGGAAGAAACTACTTCAACTTGCCATTGGCTCTGCCATTGGCTCAACTTACTCCAAGGCAACCATTTTGACTATATTAGCCCACACAGCTACAACGATGCACTTTAATGCTAGGTTTAGGACCTCATATTGAAGCTTATAGAGACCCCAACTGATGTATAGAACAATCTTAAAAATATCTACATTGGTTTAGATACAAGCATCATGAAACCTCTAACACAATACATTCATTTGACTTGGTAAAAATCAGTTTTTTGGACCTAACTTGCTTATCACTTTTTCCATGTGGTTTCTTCCTTCACAGACTCCATGAAATGATGACCTCTTCCTAAATATTTGGTCAAATGATACATTTTGTGTATGGTTTCTTAGAAACAAGGGCGGTTCAACTTACCCCACTCTCCCCTACATCAACAGAACATACTGAGCTCGGAAATGTAAAGCGTCATAAACGTTCTATAATATATTATTCTGTCTTTCTGTGGCCCGTGTATGGTGTGCCACCCAATGCCACCTAACTCCAATGTCTCGTGCTCCGACTCTGATACTCAACCACCTTCTCCATAACCCAATGGAACTAGGGTTGGGCGATATGGCCCAAATATCATATCACGGCCGGGAATGTTTTTGGGGACGATATTTGACAGTATTTCTTGTTTTAGAATAATACAAGTTCTAAATTTGCTTTATGAGTAGAGCGTGACCCTAGGGTGGCAACACATACGTTCTAAGTGATTAATGGGTCGTTCTCCATTCTGATTTGTTTTATACTGTTCAATTCAACCAGAAATAATTTTCAGCATTTTCATCACTCATTTGAGATCCCTTCCACTTAGGGCTGCATGATATGGGCAAACCATCTAGGCCTTATTTGTAAATGTTGCAATTGCGATTTGACTTGTGATTTATAGCAAAACACTTTGGTGAACTGTTGGAATCATGGAAATAGAATGATTATTCTAATTATATAGTTAGAATATAATAGTAGGTACTTTAAATACAGTCTTGTTTGACATGATAACGAATGAAAATGGCAGGGAGGAGTTATTGTGACAGGGTAGGAACCAAAGGGTTGATAAGTGTTTGCTAGTGGACCGTATAATCTTTGGCTACATTGAATGTTTTCTCTTAGCTACTTCATGTAGCTAACATATTCATGCTTTGCGTATTCTTCTTTAGTTTAGAAGATACTGTTGCACAAACAACATGCTGATTTAGGTCTACACCATCACTGGTATTATCAGGCTGTATAGCTAATTACGTTTGCTCTGACTCAGTACATTTATTAGCTAGCTAACTAGCTAACCAGCTAACTAGTAATTAGCATTAGCGGCTAACATGATTTAGGCCCAACTTGCTATAAAAAGACAAACTAGCTGTTTGCAGATGTAAGAAACACAAACTAATAGTGTAATTATAGAACGCTAGTGGATTTATATGAAGAAGCAAAGTGAAAACAGCATTGTTGTCATCAACATTGATGCATGTGCTGCATTGACCATGTAGACTGAATGAATGCAAGTGTCTCATGGTCAAGGAGCAACAAATGCGCTCCTTAAGTGACAGGAGCCGGGGCTAGGTCTGTGTGGAAAGCGGCATGGAGAGAGCGAGAGCAGAGAAAGATACCTTTGTGTCCTCTTCCACATATGTATACAATAACGTATAACACTCGCACAAATTCAATACAGAGCCTATCACCTGCACTGTCTGTCTGACACCAATACTTTCATCTTCCTTTCAGACTACAGTCATAGAGTACGTCAAGCCTTCTGACCTCAAGAAGGACATGAACGAGACGTTCAAGGAGAAGTTCCCCCACATACGGCTGACCCTCAGCAAAATCAGGAGGTAGGGACATCTATTCCAAACATACAGTGGGGGGAAAAAGTATTTAGTCAGCCACCAATTGTGCAAGTTCTCCCACTTAAAAAGATGAGAGAGGCCTGTAATTTTCATCATAGGTATACGTCAACTATGACAGACAAAATGAGAAAAAAAAATCCAGAAAATCACATTGTAGGATTTTTTATGAATTTATTTGCAAATTATGGTGGAAAATAAGTATTTGGTCAAAAACAAAAGTTTCTCAATACTTTGTTATATACCCTTTGTTGGCAATGACACAGGTCAAACGTTTTCTGTAAGTCTTCACAAGGTTTTCACACACTGTTGCTGGTATTTTGGCCCATTCCTCCATGCAGATCTCCTCTAGAGCAGTGATGTTTTGGGGCTGTTGCTGGGCAACACGGACTTTCAACTCCCTCCAAAGATTTTCTATGGGGTTGAGATCTGGAGACTGGCTAGGCCACTCCAGGACCTTGAAATGCTTCTTACGAAGCCACTCCTTCGTTGCCCGGGCGGTGTGTTTGGGATCATTGTCATGCTGAAAGACCCAGCCACGTTTCATCTTCAATGCCCTTGCTGATGGAAGGAGGTTTTCACTCAAAATCTCACGATACATGGCCCCATTCATTCTTTCCTTTACACGGATCAGTCGTCCTGGTCCCTTTGCAGAAAAACAGCCCCAAAGCATGATGTTTCCACCCCCATGTTTCACAGTAGGTATGGTGTTCTTTGGATGCAACTCAGCATTCTTTGTCCTCCAAACACGGCGAGTTGAGTTTTTACCAAAAAGTTATATTTTGGTTTCATCTGACCATATGACATTCTCCCAATCCTCTTCTGGAACATCCAAATGCACTCTAGCAAACTTCAGACGGGCCTGGACATGTACTGGCTTAAGCAGGGGGACACGTCTTGCACTGCAAGATTTGAGTCCCTGACGGCGTAGTGTGTTACTGATGGTAGGCTTTGTTACTTTGGTCCCAGCTCTCTGCAGGTCATTCACTAGGTCCCCCCGTGTGGTTCTGGGATTTTTGCTCACCGTTCTTGTGATCATTTTGACCCCACGGGGTGAGATCTTGCGTGGAGCCCCAGATCGAGGGAGATTATCAGTGGTCTTGTATGTCTTCCATTTCCTAATAATTGCTCCCACAGTTGATTTCTTCAAACCAAGCTGCTCACCTATTGCAGATTCAGTCTTCCCAGCCTGGTGCAGGTCTACAATTTTGTTTCTGGTGTCCTTTGACAGCTCTTTGGTCTTGGCCATAGTGGAGTTTGGAGTGTGACTGTTTGAGGTTGTGGACAGGTGTCTTTTTTACTGATAACAAGTTCAAACAGGTGCCATTAATACAGGTAACGAGTGGAGGACAGAGGAGCCTCTTAAAGAAGAAGTTACAGGTCTGTGAGAGCCAGAAATCTTGCTTGTTTGTAGGTGACCAAATACTTATTTTCCACCATAATTTGCAAATAAATTCATTGAAAATCTTACAATGTTATTTTCTGGATTTTTTTTACTCAATTTGTCTGTCATTGTTGACGTGTACCTATGATGAAAATTACAGGCCTCTCTCATCTTTTTAAGTGGGAGAACTTGCACAATTGGTGGCTGACTAAATACTTTTTTTCCCCACTGTATATTGGAGTATGATGTTGAAATGATCAGTTTGTGGCAGCAGTATTTAATCCCTTGTGGTTAATCGTATCAAAAATAGTTTACTGACAGACATTGGCCACACTATGGTACCTTTAAAAAAAAAAAAAGTTTTTTAGCGTTTGTTTCATCTCCCTGCCTTCACCACCTTCTACCCCCTGCCTCTCTACCACCCCCCTCCATCCCCAGTCTGAAGAGAGAGATCCGTAAGTTGGCCCAGGAAGAGTGTGGCTATGAGGAACCCACCGTAGCCATGGCCTTCGTCTACTTTGAGAAGCTGGTCCTCCAGGGGAAACTCAACAAGCAGAACCGCAAACTCTGCGCCGGCGCCTGCGTCCTGCTCGCCGCCAAGATCGGCGGAGACCTCAAGAAGCACGAGGTCAAGCAGCTCATAGACGTAAGTGTCGTACTTATCTCATCGTGCACTGGGCTTCAGCTCTGAGCAGCCTGGTGGAAACCGTTAGTGCTTTCCTGTCACGCGGACAAACACCGATTTATAGGATTGTTATATCATATGAATTCATTAAGTGTTTCCTTCAAAGCTGTAATCCTTAGCGGTGAAACTGCCACGTCCGTTTGCGATATTACAACAACAAAGACGTTACTTCAAACAACGAACACTGTTTTTTCCCCCTCTCGGTCATCATTGCACATCATTACACGCGCGATAGAACAGCAGAGTATGCACTACGATTTTTTAATTTTTTACCATGATGCTCATCTCCCCCACAAAAACAACCAGTAGCGGCTGTTTCTCCTTTCGCGGATCCCAGCTTTAATGTTACACACTTTTTCAGATGTTATAAAAATCTGATGATAGGATGGTTATATAATAATAATGTGGTTATTTTACAAGCATTATAAATATCTGCATTTATCTGCATGACAGGAAAGCACCACATGACAGATAGCAAAGTGGCTAGCTCAGGGATTGTAGACAAAGTCGTTTTTTCAGTCACTACATATTATTCACTGGATATATTAAGTAGTACAGTGGTTTAGTTACTGCATCACCTCTCCTCCCTTTTTCTCTGATTTGTAGAAACTGGAGGAGAGGTTTCGTGTGAACAGGAGGGAGCTGATAGCCTTTGAGTTCCCTGTGCTGGTGGCCCTGGAATTCAACCTGTACCTGCCTGAGCATGAGGTCATGCCCCACTACAGACGCCTCGTCCAGACCTCCTAGCATTAGTGACCCGTCAGGAGGAGCACCTACACCACGACCTCCTGATCCAGGACCAGAATCTACACAACGCCCTCCTCCCCACCCCACATCCCACCACTGGGTGCCACGACCAGGTCTCCTCCCTGCAGCCCGGGGATCCATTATGGACCATGATGTTGGAGCTCCACGACGCTCTACTGCAGGTCACATTCATATGGACATTTTCAGATCGAGACTTGAAAGCAGCCAAAGTGACATATTTCCATACACGTATTCTTACTTCAACATTTTTCTCAGACTTTTAGTCGTACATTCGACACTAGCTACATCTTCAAAAGACTTATGAAAGGGAGAATCCGATCTTCCTCCACTTTGTTGATATTTTTTAGAGTTTGTATGTTTTTCAATCTCTTTTTACATCCTGCTTTACTTTTTCTTTGAGGTTTCATGTTGTCTTTCTAGTTAAAGAGCATTGCAAGATGAAACAGTATTTTTTTGTCAAAGCAAATGATTGTTTTGTGATTGTTACATTTTTCACTATCATCTTTTTTTTTGAGAGAGAGAGAGAGAGAATTTATTTCCTTGGTCCCTCGTTCCTATGTTGAACTTGGTAACCCAAAGTTGGCTAAAGTTGTTCATAACTATTTCCTAATCATTCCTTGGCATGTTTTGGTTGCCTTATGATCATCATAAGAATGAATTGTGCTTCAGATTTTGACAGGACAGTTATCAAAGTGACTCTGTGCTTTTTGAAAGACGTATTCCAGTCTCCTCACTAGAAGTGTACTTTTGAATAATGCAGACATGGATGGCGGTGATTTTCTGAGACTGACTTGCGATGAAACAAATGGATTCTGATCAAGTTCAGTTGACTCAAACCACATAAGGGCAAGTTGATGTAAATTATTCTCCATTTATTTTCTCATCCATTTTCCTTTTTCTGTTTTCTAGCCACCAATCCCACTATCAGCATGACAATTTATCAAAAACGTTTAGATTGCAAAATACACAGATTTAAATACTGTATTTTATTCAGTACATTTAAGTACTCTTCTTGTTTTCTACCTGTGGAGTGCTTGCTTTGGACATTCGGTGACGGGGCCTACTCTCCACACCTCTGATTTAGAGGGGTTGGGTTAAATGCGGAAGACACATTTCAGTTGAATGCATTCAGTTGTACAACTGACTAGGTATCCCCCTTTCCCTTTCTTATCAGTGTGTAGTCTCCTGTGCTCTATGTTAGAGTGTGTTATCGGTGCGTTTCTCGTGCTATACTAGAGTGGGTGGAAAGGTATTGGAAGCAAGGCATGATGATGCCAATGATACAGGTCTGATATTGAAACTGAACGTCATAATCACAATATCTGTCATGACCACACCAAGTGTTTATATGGCATGGTTTCGGTCATGACCGGACCAAGTGTTTATATGGCATGGTTTCGGTCATGACCGGACCAAGTGTTTATATGGCATGGTTTCGGTCATGACCGGACCAAGTGTTTATATGGCATGGTTTCGGTCATGACCGGACCAAGTGTTTATATGGCATGGTTTCGGTCATGACCGGACCAAGTGTTTATATGGCATGGTTTCGGTCATGACCGGACCAAGTGTTTATATGGCATGGTATCTGTCATGATCGCAATATTGTTGTGCCACCAATCTTTTATGACGAGTGGTTCAAGCTCGAAGATCACCTTTGGAATGGTATGCTAATGCTATTGTTGCGACATCATAGCAGTATTACGAAGAGTTTCTCTTGAAAAACTGAAAAGTATTGTTTATTTTATTAGATTCAACTTTTGTCTTTTGAACACTACTTTGATTGGATCTACAGAAATCAAACATAGACGTTATAGAAATTAGCTTTTTGCTACATGCACATTTCCATGTCTGATGAGAAAGTTTAGGATGCTGAAAATCCTTTTGTCATGCACCTCAGACAGCCATGCCCTCAAATTGCAAAGCTTATTAAATTACCCTTTTCAAATGTGTGTAGCTGTAATATTGACCTGTAATGTTGGGCATATAGTCTCTCAATCTGAAATGAACTATAGAAACTTTGATACAACAACGTAGGTTGATACTGAACTATGTCACTGAGAAACATGGATACATTGTAAAAGTAAACAATGTCTGAATTGCCATGAGTTTGAATCAGGCCTTTTGTATACAACACATTGTTTAATTGAGTGGTGTATAAAAGGGTTGTATAAAAAAGTGTTATTTGACTTTAAACTGATCGCTGTGATTGAGTAATCAGAAAAGATGGATAGTGCTGAAATCGGGGTGAAATACTTTTGGGAGAAGTTCTGCTTCTATTTGTAAGCCCAGAGGTTTTGCCATAGGATGCCCACTTTTAGGCTTTGCCAGAAAGCACGCAAATACACGTGCATATGATTGTAAATTTACTGCTTTGCTTGTTCAATAAAAACAAGATTCCTGAAATGTGTGTCTTCTTCATTTTGTGTTACTCCCTCCTGCTGATGTTGCTGCATTGATTTACTGGCATAACATGAGATCATATTTTTTCACTCTTAAAATTAGTTGCAGAGAACCAATAGCATTTACTACAATTCAAACATGCATGAAGGCAGTGCATGTTTCTCATTATACAAATCCTAAACCCTTGAGAACGTGAGGTTTAGCCCAAGTGTTAAAAAGTCTGTGACACATCAGCACTGTGACGTTGAGTCTGTCACCCAACCGGTTGTAATTTAGCCTGAATATGTCCCACATATCTCTTGGCAGTAGAGCAGCAGAAACCACTCCAAGTCAGTGTGAGTTGAGAAGGCCAGTGAGTGGTGGCTCTGTCCTATATGGAGCTCAGTGATCATGCTATGCCCTGCTATGGCTCTGATGCAATCTGAGAGGGGAAAATAGAACAAACGGGCTCTCCCGGTACCGCCTGACACACATCCAAGGTAAACAAGGCTGGTGGGCGGTCACGCCAGTCCCAGTATCGTGCTACCATCAAAACAAACAGTTCCAGGCCTGGCCACACCCACATGGCTTAGCCCTCTCCATTGATACCCCTAATACCCCTCTGAGCCTCATAAAGGGACAATTGACTGCCCTTCCTGGGGTCGGCTCGCACATCAGCCACTGCCATTGTGCCAAATATGTGTTCCATCGTTTGGGGGACAAGCCCCCTGGCCTAGTCTATTGCCCTTCCCACTATTTAAAATAACATTTGGCTGAAACGGCAGTTTGCCCCCCTGGAAGTTGGCAAAGAAGGAAGTGAATGTTGGGAATTGAATGGTGAGTGTTGTGGCCATCAGTGGGAGAGGGACTCCCTGGTTGGCTGTTTGTCTGGTCAGCAAGGGGGGGAATGGGGTGTATTCAGTGATGTGAAATGTTCTGTATGTTGCAGATAAAAATAGATATAGGGAATGTAATCTATGTGAACGTTGTGTAACGTTACATCCCCCTGAACAGGACCCAGACAGCACTGCAGGTGGACATGTGTGTGAATTTGATCCTCTCCACGTCTGAGATGACTCTCTAGTCCCACTGTTCCACTCAGTCTAGTTTGGTGTCAACTGAGCCTGGCTGTAACAGAAAACCAGTGACTCAAAACAACAGGGCATTAAATGTCTCTCTCACCTTACTTATTAATGGACCCTTTAAAGTGAGTCAGTCCAAGTGAATCAGTCAAGTGGAAAATATGTCCGGTGGCTGGAAATTGAACCCCAAGGAAAATGTTGGCAGCAATTAAGGCCACTCAATGACTTGTTAGGGGTACTTTGGAGAAAGCCAAGGTGTTGACAAGAAGTATGTGTACTTTCATGAACCAGCTTTGAGAGGTGTGGAGGTGTTGCAGAATTTGCTTTGGATTCCGGGTGGGCGACTAGCGAGAGAGCAGGAGATTGTCCTCTGTATGCCCTTATAATCATGTGGCGTGTTGCTTGACTAAGTGTTTTGGAAAGCATATGTCATTGTGACAGTAAGGCATCAAGGCAACGCATGTCAAGCAGTGACCTCATGGCAGCAGGAGCCGTCTGATAATGTGTCAATTTACAGTATGACTTTTCTTTGACTCGCCACTTTAATCTCTACATTATTTCACATTAAATATTTCCTCTGAGGCAAGAAATGCAAAATGACTGGTGTTTTTTATAATAACCTATTACATTTGAGGAATGTACGGTAATAATGTACCATGCCTGTATGGTAACTGGTACTGTACAGTTAGCCTTCTTTCTCTTTGTGTCAGTAGAACATTTACATAACATGCTTTAGTTTAGTGGGCTGCTGCCATTTTTGCCCACATTTCTACTCTGCCTTTTATTAACCATTTTGTGTCTCTTAAAAACAAAAAGTGGTGTAATATGGGTTGACTCTCTTTCCTTAGAATAATTACTCTTATTCCAAAGTGCATAATGTACATTGAGGTCAGCAAATCATATTTTATATTTTCATCTATCTATTGCTGGTGACCAATTAATGAGCTCATTCACTCATAAAACCACATCGATTATTTTATGTTTCAGTCAATAATGATATATCATGAGGCCTCAGAGGGTGAATAAACAGATTATTTAGAGGGATTGATAATCCAAGGTCACAGTCATCCAGACCAAACCAGACAGATGGACAGAGGCCACAACCGGAACTCAGCCTGCCTGGCTCCCCAGTACAAACTGAATGGATGAAAAATGCTGTACTTGAATACCCGCAGGATACAGCAACCTTGCACCTGATAGATAGTAAACTACAGTATACTGTTCATAAACATTACCTTGATGTTTCACGGCTATATTCATTTCTCATTTATTAAGCTGATTGAGGGACTGATGCTAAAAATAAGCAAAAGCATGATGGTGTAATGTACAGTATCTGACATTCGATAATTCAGTGTATCTGTTTCTATTCAAATAAACAGTTGATATAAATGAATGCAAAGCCTAATCTCTGGCATGTGATTTGCAACCTGGAGGAAACCAGCTGCTGAAATGTCAGCAATGGCAAATAATCTGTACATGACAGCCACATTTTTATTCATATAACAGCAGTGTCTGCTACAATGACAGTGGTGTTATGCAAGCCCTGTGGTGGGCTCAGTTGTAGTGGGGCTCAGATGTATGTGATGGAGCTCTGTTCTCCTCTCTTCCCTGCCCTCCCCTTCCTCTGTTCTCCTCTCTTCCCTGCCCTCCCCTTCCTCGGTTCTCCTCTCTTCCCTGCCCCCCCCTTCCCTTCCTCGGTTCTCCTCTCTTCCCTGCCCTCCCCTTCCTCTGTCCTCCCCTTCCTCGGTTCTCCTCTCTTCCCTGCCCTCCCCTTCCTCTGTTCCCTGCCCTCCCCTTCCTCGGTTCTCCTCTCTTCCCTGCCCTCCCCTTCCTCTGTCCTCCCCTTCCTCTGTTCTCCTCTCTTCCCTGCCCTTCCCTTCCTCGGTTCTCCTCTCTTCCCTGCCCTCCCCTTCCTCGGTTCTCCTCTCTTCCCTGCCTTCCCCCATGCCCTCCCCTTCCTCTGTCCTCCCCTTCCTCTGTTCCCTGCCCTCCCCTTCCTCTGTTCCCTGCCCTCCCCTTCCTCTGTTCCCTGCCCTCCCCTTCCTCTGTTCCCCTCTTCCCTTCCATGCCCTCCCTTTCCTCTGTTCTCCCCTTCCTCTGTTCTCCCCTCTTCCCTGCCCTCCCCTTCCTCTGTTCTCCCCTCTTCCCTGCCCTCCCCTTCCTCCTCTCTTCCCTCCCCCCTGCCCTGCCCTCCCCTCCCCTCTTCCCTGCCCTCCCCTTCCTCTGTTCTCCTCTCTTCCCTCCCCTCCCCTCCCCTTCCTCTGTTTCCCTCTCCTACATAGACTAATATGTTCCCCTCCTACCCTAGCCAAGGGGAAATTAATATTTAAATCTCTGACAGATTCAATTAACAGCCCAAACGCTGAGAGAGAAAACTGATGAATAAATGATGAAGTGGCAGTATGTATGACAACAAGGCTGTGCAGCCCCAGCCAAGTCAGGACAGAAAGGAAGTTGACACTGTTACGAACCATCAGTCCTCCTCGGTTTGGCAGCCGATTTCAGTTAGGATATTACGTTCAATGTGGGATATGGAAGTGCACACACTGTGGTTGAAGTTCAAAGTTCATATTGTTAGAAATGGTTGTTGGTTTTAGAAAATACAAAAAATATTAATAAATCTTTAAAATACTCATGTCTCAACCACAAGAAGACAGTAAAAACAAAAGTGAGCCCTCAAATTGGCAGTAAATGCAAAGCATTGAAACTACCATGTTAGACCACATCCACCTGAAGTGAGGAAATATTGCATACCAGCCACTATAGCCTTACAGACTGATGAAAAATAGGTCAACACCATTAGTCTGGAGAGGTAGTTTCAGACACTTCAGACAGCAACTATGGTGTCTGGCTCCACAATGTGGTCTCTTTGTAAATAACAACCATCAACCAGGCTGTTTCTTCTGAACATCTATTCTATTGTGTGAGGTTACTCAAATCAGGCACACATGAGATATTAGTAAGTGATTTATTCCCCCCCAAAATCATAGAAATCTATAGTGGTGGATCTTTTCCGCAATACCACTAGGAGGTTCTACTGCACATCAGATGTAATCTGTCAAGACAGAGTTGCAATGCAGTCCACCCATTAAAATGGTTAAAAATGAAGATTTTCCATTCAAGACCTGGTTATGATATTACAACATTGTGCATCTCCTTTCCAGCACCAATGTGCAGCATTGTCAACAAGCATGTCTGTGTCTGTTACAAACATTTAGAGCCCCTGGGTGCCCCATAATAACCATTACGTTAATATCTAGGCTCAACCTTACATTCTGAAGTACTACAGACAACTGGACACTACCCTTAACTGTAAGCAAAAACATCACTGCAAAACAGGGAGTCAGCCCAAACTCAGTATAATGTAAAAAAAGAAAAAAAGAACATAACTACTGTACTCCCTGGCCTAGAATACCTCAGCTCTGGGCCCGTATTCACTAATCTAGGATCAGTTCTGCTTTTTCGATCATAATTGAATAGACAAGGGGGCCCTGATCACTTTGTGAATACGGACCCTTGGCTATAGGAATACATATTGTTATTATAACATGAACAAAGTTTCCTCAATCCAACTGGTCAAGTGTTCAGTAACTGTGGAACCATAGAAATATAATTACAGAATTATAGTTATTGTGTTTCTATGTGTGGATCACATCCAACACATGCAAGATACATTTTTTCTTTAAATATTATTATTATTTTGTTTCATTATTAGTTACATTACAATATAATCAGTACAGTATACATCAATGATTCATCATATTAAATAGCTATTCTCAGAGAAGAAAACTTTGCATATATTACTCTTTACATTTTGTACTTTTGAGAAAGAGTAGCATGGGTTTTATTATCTAAACTAGAAGATTGTGAGAGTTGAAGTGTCTCCTACTTTCACACTGCTGACTTCCTGTGTTGAGAGGAAACAGTATACATCATCATATTGCTGCTCATGTTGATTTAGGGGGCTATTCTAGGTTACTGAAATGAGTAGTGTTCACTAGGCACCAAACGGGGAAAAAAGGACAAAAACAGGGAGGGACTACCTGGGCCCATATTCACAAAGCGTCTTCAGAGTAGGAATAGTGATCTAGGACCAGCCGCCCCCCCCCCCCCCCCCCCCCCCCCCCCCGCCCTGTCAACGTAATCATATTCATTGTGATCTAAAAGGCTAAATTGATCCTAAAATCAGTACTTCTACTCAGATGCTTTGTGAATACGGGCCCTGGACTTAAATGCAATTTTTTCATTTTCCGTTGCAAAACGTTTGCCACTGTGTGCACTAATGCATACTACCCAGAATTACCCTTGATAATTAAATAAGCGAAAGGAAGCACTGGACAAGGCCTCTGACAGACACCCCACACTGTTATTCCTGAGTTGCATCCCTGCGTTGCGCTGCGTAGTGAGTTGTTGATGAGTGTGTCAATAATCATAGAAACAGCTGCTCCTGTCGCACTGTGTCACCCCATACCCACACAGTCTCTCCCAAACCTGACAGGCTGGTTAGTTGGTTCATACCATTGTACTGTCTCTAGTTGAGGAGGCGTTCCCTTTCTGTGCCGGCGTAGCGCTTGTTGGCTGAAAACACCTTGGCCTTGTTGACCGAAGGACCTGAGGTGAGAGACAGACAGATGGTGTCATTTTTTCAAAGGCATAATCGTTTAGGACTTTTTGGAGGCAAACCCCCCCCCCTCCCCCTCTTCCATGGAGTGTGAACATTGACATACAGACAAACTGGTACTTACTATGAGGCACTACGCAACATATTCAGATGTTAGGCAAATATGAACTTCACACCACACTTCCTTTTGTGGATAGAGGGTGCTAGTGAGCTTACAGAGAGGTGCTATAGCGTGCTGTTAGGAAGGGGAATTATACAGTGGGGAGAACAAGTATTTGATACACTGACGATTTTGCAGGTTTTCCTACTTACAAAGCATGTAGAGGTCTGTAATTTGTATCATAGGTACACTTCAACTGTGAGAGATTGAATCTAAAACAAAAATCCAGAAAATCACATTGTATGATTTTTAAGTAATTAATTTGCTTTTTATTGCATGACATAAGTATTTGATACATCAGAAAAGCAGAACTTAATATTTGGTACAGAAACCTTTGTTTGCAATTACAGAGATCATACGTTTCCTGTAGGTCTTGACCAGGTTTGCACACACTGCAGCAGGGATTTTGGCCCACTCCTCCATACAGACCTTCTCCAGATCCTTCAGGTTTCGGGGCTGACGCTGGGCAATACAGACTTTCAGCTCCCTCCAAAGATGTTCTATTGGGTTCAGGTCTGGAGACTGGCTAGGCCACTCCAGGACCTTGAGATGCTTCTTACGGAGCCACTCAGTTGCCCTAGCTCTGTATTTCGGGTCGTTGTCATGCTTGAAGACCCAGCCACGACCCATCTTCAATGCTCTTACTGAGGGAAGGAGGTTGTTGGCCAAGATCTCGCGATACATGGCCCCATCCATCCTCCCCTCAATACGGTGCAGTCGTCCTGTCCCCTTTGCAGAAAAGCATCCCCAAAGAATGATGTTTCCACCTCCATGCTTCACTGTTGGGATGGTGTTCTTGGGGTTGTACTCATCCTTCTTCTTCCTCCAAACACGGCGAGTGGAGTTTAGACCAAAAAGCTCAATTTTTGTCTCATCAGACCACATGACCTTCTCCCATTCCTCCTCTGGATCATCCAGATGGTCATTGGCAAACTTCAGACGGGCCTGGACATGCGCTGGCTTGAGCAGGGTGACCTTGCGTGCGCTGCAGGATTTTAATCCATGACGGCGTAGTGTGTTACTAATGGTTTTCTTTGAGACTGTGGTCCCAGCTCTCTTCAGGTCATTGACCAGGTCCTGCCATGTAGTTCTGGGCTGATCCCTCACCTTCCTCATGATCATTGATGCCCCACGAGGTGAGATCTTGCATGGAGCCCCAGACTGAGGGTGATTGACCGTCATCTTGAACTTCTTCCATTTTCAAATAATTGCGCCAACAGTTGTTGCCTTCTCACCAAGCTGCTTGCCTATTGTCCTGTAGCCCATCCCAGCCTTGTGCAGGTCTACAATTTTATCCCTGATGTCCTTACACAGCTCTCTGGTCTTGGCCATTGTGGAGAGGTTGGACTCTGTTTGATTGAGTGTGTGGACAGGTGTCTTTTATACAGGTAACGAGTTCAAACAGGTGCAGTTAATACAGGTAATGAGTGGAGAACAGGAGGGCTTCTTAAAGAAAAATGAACAGGTCTGTGAGAGCCGGAATTCTTACTGGTTGGTAGGTGATCAAATACTTATGTCTTGCAATAAAATGCAAATTAATTACTTAAAAATCATACAATGTGATTTTCTGGATTTTTGTTTTAGATTCAATCTCTCACAGTTGAAGTGTACCTATGATAAAAATTACAGACCTCTACATGCTTTGTAAGTAGGAAAACCTGCAAAATCGGCAGTGTATCAAATACTTGTTCTCCCCACTGTATATGTGATGTGAAAGGCCACACATTTACACACACACACACACACACACACACACACTATGTGCACCTGCGTAGCTGAGCAGCACAGGGAGGAAGATGAGTCCGTGCGTGGCCCCCAGCAGCACCATGGCCAGGTACATGCGGAAGTAGAAGATCTGGAAGATCTGGGACTTGGACAGAGCCAGGATCAGGATCCCTCCAAACTTAGTCAGAGTGATGCCACTGAACACCTGGGAGAAGAGGAGCCTGGTTTAGTTACCTTCTGCTGGTCAGCATTCCCTCCAGTCAATAATGAGTCAAATAACCCGTTTCTAAAAACCTGAGTAAAACAAGGAAGTCATTTCTGGGGCGGCAGGTAGCTTAGTGGTTAAGAGCGTTGTGCCAGTAACTGAAAGGTCGCAGGTTCTAATCCCCGAGCCGACTTGGTGAAAGATCTGTCGATGTGCCCTTGAGCAAGGCACTTAACCCTAATTGCTCCTGTAAGTCGCTCTGGATAAGAGCGTCTGCTAAATGACTAAAATGTAAATGTTAGTTTCTACTTTCCTAGATATTTGATTCAAGCCAAGAATTCAATTTCACTCCACAGTTCTTTTTACGATACTATTTTTACATGTCAGATATACTGATAACAGACAATCATTGGGCAAGGGATGAACCAAATGCTTTTTCCTTAAAAATATTCAGACCGCGTGCTGTTTTTCTGGACAGAAAACAGTGTGCCAGTCTGTGGTGAACTACAAGAGTAGAGCTGGGGTGTATTCATTAGTCAGATTCCGTTGAAAAACATTGTCTGTTGCAACCTAAACAGTTTACTGTTTACTCTAGCAACCAAACGGAAGCAAACAGAACAAAACATGGAGGGACCTACCGGAATTTGTCCTATAGAAACAATAGTTTTAGTTACAAAACGTTTTGCAGACTAAACGTTTTGCAATGGAATCCGACTAATGAATACACCCCTGTACTTACTGAGCTGCCCATGTGGGCCAGAGCCTCCTCAGCCCTCTCCACCCTGGTACTCTTCACACTGATGGAGAAGGCCCTCACTATGTGACTGCAGAACTCCACAGAGATACCACAGCTCTGCAACACACACAAACTATTAATAGACTGGGAATACTGGGCTGTATCCACAACAAGGAGTTTTCTGCATCCTCTTGGTGTCAAAATATGGCAACTAAAAATGACTACCAAAACAACCCAGATATGCCAAGTTATAGGAAGACATGGTTCTGTCTTTATCTGAGATTTTTAAATCAGCTGCTATCAGCCTGTTCCTTCTCTCACCATGACGAGGTTGACGAGGGACACAGCGTTGAGGCTGATGTCCCATAGCCACATGACCCCGAACATGTTGACCAGGATCATGGCGATGGTGATGCTGACCAGCACTCCTGACCACAGCTCAAAGCCCAGCAGCACCGTGGTAACCACAAAGATGGCCGCCAGCGACACGCCCAGCTGGAAGACCGTGTCGTAGGCGATGGTCAGGTACTGCTCGTAGAACACGTAGAACACACTGAAGACGGAAAAGAACGGTTAGAATTGAAGACTAAACTAATTCAACCTCTGCAACATGACCATATTATAGGATGTAGAAAGCTACATGTTGTGAAGTGTGCATTTAAAAAGGTATAACATGCATTGCCCTAGTGGTGGCCACCGAAGATACTAAACAATTATTTGACCAAGAAGCAAAACAAAAAACAAACAGGGCAGCACTTTTGACTGGTCAGAATACATACAGATGGCATATTTCAGTGCTGGCATTTACCTTACATGCTGTGTTTAAATGTACTATACAACCCCTCTCTAACTCTTAAAACAGGAAGTGTTGTACATGTGAACAGGACCTAGATGTCAAGGTCAAACAATGCCAGAGAAAAACAATATGTTACAAAGGCAGCTATAACAACATGTTATGAGTGTGTGGTTATCTAGGACCGACTAACTTCTCTACCTTTTATGGTTATTTTAAGGAACAAAGACCCTGGACTTTGAGTCCTAAGAGACTACACAATTTAACAGAGCCGGTTCATTTAGCCAGATAATCAGGAACTCAGAAACAGTGTTTTAAGGGAGTATCTATCCCACTAGTGAAGATAATCTCTCCTCATGGGAGAACATTTTAGCAGGTTAGCGTTTGATCACTAGCTAGCACAGCCACAAAGTCATCAAATCTGCTTGCGGTACAGTTTTGGAAGCACAAGGACCTTATTATTCATATCAGTGAGAAATAATAAAAAATACAAGTTAAATTGATACACACCTTTGTAGGGTTAGGGTTCTTACACGGCCATATCTTCATGTTACAGCACAAAACAGAGGCGACCACCTGGGCTAACTAGCTATTTAGCGTACTCCGAACACCTGTGTGTAAACGTAACTGGGGAGGAAGTGTAGCTTGGAGGCACCCATTGCTGTATGGGTCTGTGCTAAACTGCTACAGTAAGTTTATTTCTTGCTGATGAAAGATAAGGGCCATATGTTTCGAAAGCCGTATCGCAAGCGATGATTATTGACATTTCTAAACATAACACAGGGACGGGATTGTAGTTCACATGAGCCAGTCGTGGGTGAAGCTGAGGGCTGAAAACTGTAGGGAGAAGGAAGAACGCCGCCTATAGTTTGAGAGCTATGCTAACCCTAATGACTAACCCTAACCTTAAATTTGCAGCTGGTTTATCTAACGGGAAATTGCTCAGTTCTGCCTCCAGGACAAGCCTCATGTCAACAAAACGTCAATAAAATGTAAACCTGCAACATTTTACCAGTGACTTTTATAGCAGCAGCTAAGCCAGTCACACTAACTCTTTTTTTTTAAATATAAATGTTTTGTTGTAATTTACCCCCTTTTCTCCCCAATTTCGATCTTGTCTCGTCGCTGTAACTCCCCAACGGGCTCGGGAGGCAAAGGTCGAGTCATGCGTCCTCCGATACATTACCCGCCAAACCAGCTTCTTAACACCCGCCTGCTTAACCCAGAAGCCAGCCGCATCAATGTGTCGGAGGAAACACCGTTCAACTGACGACCGAAGTCAGCCTGCAGGAGCACGGCCCGCCACAAGGAGCCGCTAGAGCGCGATGAGCCAAGTAAAGCCCCCCCCGGCCAAACCCTCCCCTAACCCAGACGACGCTGGGCCAATTGTGCGGCACCCTATGGGAATCCCGATCACGGCCGGTTGTGACACAGCCCGGGAACGAACCCGGGTCTGTAGTGACGCCTCTAGCACTGCGATGCAGTTCCTTAGACCACTACGCCACTTGGGAGGCCCCGCCTCAAACTTTCTTAAGTGAGGGTGATATGGAAACAACAACACTGGAGCAGATAACTCCTATCTGAGTGAGATAACAAGAACCCTTAACTAAAATAGGAGTTAGCCTAGTTTACCTGTAGGGGAAAACTTTGTGTCCCATGGCAGTTGTGATGTTGTCAGCCAGGACACGGGCCATCTTCATGGCGTCTATAAAGTCAGGTGAGTCCTTGAGGATGGAGTGGTAGGTCATGAAGTAGGTGGCCCCCACAGACGTGTCGTTCCCCTTTAGAACCACCGCTGAACTGTAGGCTGCGTGACCACTACAGGACCACAAAGACCAAGTTAGAGGCAGAGAGAGTCATTCAGTTCAAACTAATTTCAATTCCCTTAAACTGAATGAACAAAGAGTTTAAGAGTTCAACAGAGACAATTCTATCAGAGCTGTGGTGAAAAGCAAAAGTGAAAACTAAAGATTCAGATTAGTAGTTTACCGTAAACTCAAACCCGACATCCAATATTTCTCAATACACAATCCATTATGAACTATGCTTGGATTGCCATAGAGAAACAACAATTACCCTTTCCCACACTTGACGTTGGGGTTGTCTGACAGGAACATGGGTAGGAACTTCATGAAGTCCTGTTCCGTAGGCCTCAGCTTCCCGATCGGGGTCATGGGGCGGCAATGCAAACACGATGTGTCTACCACTGATGAGCGGAGACAAATAGGTACTTTAATACAATATTTTTATAAATTGCAGAAGAGGAGTTGTAATATCTACAGTGTGTTTGTGTTACCTGAGGCATTGCAGAAGGCCCCAGAGGAGTTGTAATATCTACAGTGTGTTTGTGTTACCTGAGGCATTGCAGAAGGCCCCAGAGGAGTTGTAATATCTACAGTGTGTTTGTGTTACCTGAGGCATTGCAGGAGGCCCCAGAGGAGTTGTAATATCTACAGTGTGTTTGTGTTACCTGAGGCATTGCAGGAGGCCCCAGAGGAGTTGTAATATCTACAGTGTGTTTGTGTTACCTGAGGCATTGCAGAAGGCCCCAGAGGAGTTGTAATATCTACAGTGTGTTTGTGTTACCTGAGGCATTGCAGAAGGCCCCAGAGGAGTTGTAATATCTACAGTGTGTTTGTGTTACCTGAGGCATTGCAGGAGGCCCCAGAGGAGTTGTAATATCTACAGTGTGTTTGTGTTACCTGAGGCATTGCAGGAGGCCCCAGAGGAGTTGTAATATCTACAGTGTGTTTGTGTTACCTGAGGCATTGCAGAAGGCCCCAGAGGAGTTGTAATATCTACAGTGTGTTTGTGTTACCTGAGGCATTGCAGGAGGCCCCAGAGGAGTTGTAATATCTACAGTGTGTTTGTGTTACCTGAGGCATTGCAGGAGGCCCCAGAGGAGTTGTAATATCTACAGTGTGTTTGTGTTACCTGAGGCATTGCAGAAGGCCCCAGAGGAGTTGTAATATCTACAGTGTGTTTGTGTTACCTGAGGCATTGCAGAAGGCCCCAGAGGAGTTGTAATATCTACAACAGGTGGACTGAGGCTTGACCCAGTCAAAGTAATCATCCAGCCACGATGACGGGTTGAATCCTATAGTGGTGCTGGGGGACAATAACATGGAGATTATTTGATCCTTTTCGATTGGAAGATATTCAAGAAAGTCTTAGAATTCCTTTAAACAAGCAGGTATTTGTCAATGAGTTCATTGCCATAACAACTGCAGCTAAACCCAGAGTTCTAGTCACCCCGTTTGAGCTAGACTGACTTCACAGCATAATACTCAACATGCAGTCCAAAGGTAAAAAGAGGGGAGGTTGCTGTTGCTTCACTCACTAGTTGCAGTTAAGGGAGGCGGTGTGTGAGTGCGTGTGTGAGTCTGTGTGTCACTCACTAGTTGCTAATGAGAGATGCTGTGTAGACCTGTTGGACCAGAGAGTTATTGTTGCAGCCCACCCCTCCACACACAGAGTTCTGGCCATCCAGACTCAGGTAGTCATGGCCGTCCTCCACCACGAAGTAGACCGGAGGACCCGTGTGGAGGTACGCACTCAGGTTCTTAAAGTAGTCCAGCACATACGAGTCCTATAGGATGGGAGATTCAATAGAGAGATGTCCAACATGATCCAAATGTCATTAGCCCACTGAGTGAGACTGGTGGGGTTATACGTACTAAAACATACTTACATCAGGCATGGAGAGCTTCTGGTCCAGTCCAATCTCTACCTTATTGGTGACAGCGATACTGAAGGACAGCATCCCCACAAACACAGACACCTGTCCAAGAAGAGGAGATATTAAAGATACACTATGGACGTTTAGTGGCTAACTGTTTACATCAATTGTTGGCTTGAATGCCGGCTCTATTGTTCATATACATTCAAATCTGAGTATCAGCACTCACCACTATGGGTCTGACCCACTCCTTGAGGATGAAGGGGGCGTAGATATTCTTGAAGAAGCGGAAGAGGAAGCCATCAGTCTTCTTCTCCTGGCCCTCTGGCAGCTTCACACAGCACACAATGTCCAGACGATTCCCCTGGGAACGCAACATGTTCATTCTTGAAACACTAATTAACAACGGCTCCAGAAATTACCTTCAACGTCCTTCAAACTGCACACAGAGACATACAAATTGTATCCATGAGTTTCTCAATGAGTTCAAAGCATGTGAATGCATCCAACTAGTATTTACAACTTCACAACTGGTCTATTCCAACCTCCAGCAGCAGAAGGCCCCAAGGACCAATCAGTAAAACAGGTGAGAATTTACTTCCATATTAGACAACTCCAGTGTCTCTCTCTATTAAAAGTGACATCAGTGCACTACTCATTTGAAGTAGGCCGTGATGTTCATGCTTAGACGGGCACGACATGGTAATAATGGACCAGGGACTTAATAGTGACACAGAAAGCTGACAGATACTCTAGCAAGCCAATCCTACCCTAGCCCCGTGAGTAATCACCAGTCTTCACCACTAATCACAGTCATCACCAGTCCTCACAGTCATCACCAGTCCTCACAGTCATCACCAGTCCTCACAGTCATCACCAGTCCTCACAGTCATCACCAGTCCTCTCAGAGGAGCAGCAAATAGTGTGTAGACATTTCTGTTCTTTTAATCCCCAGCCAGACTCACCTCTTAACAAACAGAGGAACAACACTAGCAGCCCAACCAACCCTACACCTTCCCCTTCTGAGTCACCCCCAGCCCGGAACCCTCCTCACCAGGACCTCAGTATTCCGGTCGGGAGCGTGAGGTCACGAGCTCTGCTGGTCGGTTACTGCGTAGCAACCTAGCTGTGCCAAAAGCCCTGGGCTGCCCTAGAAAGCCTATGTAAATTACGATCGCCAGAACGGCCAAACAAAACTTGGAGACGGACGTTTATTATGATCATGTTCACACAGGACCATGTGCTGACACAGACCAATCACGGGCCGGCAGGCTATGAGAACGCTCCCGCCCTCATGCATGCGCATCTAAGGGTGTGTTTTGTGCTATGTGGTGTGGTGTGGTGTGCTATGTGGTGTGGTGTGCTATGTGGTGTGGTTTGGTGTGCTATGTGGTGTGGTATGCTATGTGGTGTGGTATGCTAAGTGGTGTGGTGTGCTATGGTATGCTATGTGGTGTGGTGTGCTATGGTGTGCTATGTGGCGTGGTATGCTATGTAGTGTGGTGTGCTGTGGTATGCTATGTGGTGTGCTGTGGTGTGCTATGTGGTGTGCTATGTGGTGTGGTGTGCTATGTGGTGTGCTATGTGGTGTGGTGTGCTGTGGTATGCTATGTGGTGTGCTGTGTGGTGTGCTATGTGGTGTGGTATGCTATGTGGTGTGCTATGTGGTGTGGTGTGCTATGTGGTGTGCTATGTGGTGTGGTGTGCTATGTGGTGTGGTATGCTATGTGGTGTGGTGTGCTATGTGGTGTGGTGTGGTGTGCTATGTGGTGTGGTGTGCTATGTGGTGTGGTGTGCTATGTGGTGTGGTGTGCTATGCTATGTGGTGTGGTATGCTATGTGGTGTGGTGTGCTATGTGGTGTGGTGTGCTTTTATCCTCTGTCTAGTTCAATTCCTTTGTTAGTCCGTCATCACGTTTAGTGTTCTCCGTGGTTAGTCTGTCCTTATGTTTAGTGTACTTTTATATACTTACTGTAATGTGGGATTTTATATATTTTTATCCTGCTGGTTTTGTTGTGTATGTAAAGTGACTTTGGGTTTTGTGAAAAGCTCTTAAAATGAAATGTATTATTATCCAGATGAGAGCAGAGTCAACAAGCCTGTCAAGTGATGGAGGGGCTGACCAACGTCTATGGGGATGACAGAGTGGAGAACAGAGGATGACCGAGGATGACAGGATGAGAGGGTTTAAGTGCCTTTGAACGGGGTATGGTAGGACTCCAGACCAAAGGACACATGTCCACCGGTCTAATGTTCATTGCTCGTGTTTCTTGGCCCAAGCAGGTCTCTTCTTCTTCTTATTATTATTATTGGTGTCCTTTAGTAGTGGTTTCTTTGCAGTAATTCGACCATGAAGGCCTGATTCACACAGTCCCCTCTGAACAGTTGATGTTGAGATGTGTCTGTTACTTGAACTCTGTGAAGCATTTATTTGGGCTGCAATTTCTGAGGCTGGTAACTCTAATGAACTTATCCTCTGCAGCAGAGGTAACTCTGGGTCTTGCATTCCTGTGGTGGTCCTCATGAGAGACAGTTTCATCATAGTGCTTGATGGTTTTTGCGACTGCACTTGAAGAAACTTTCAAAGTTCTTGAAATGTTCCATATTGACTGGCCTTCATGTCTTAAAGTAATAATGGACTGCCGTTTCTCTTTGCTTATTTTAGCTGTTCTTGCCATAATATGGACTTGGTCTTTTACCAAATAGGGCTATCCTCTGTATACCTTGTCACAACACAAGTGATTGGCTCAAATGCATTAAGAAGGAAATAAATTCCACAAATTAACATTTAAGAAGGCACACCTGTTAATTGAAATAGATTCTAGGTGACTACCTCATGAAGCTGGTTGAGAGAATGCCAAGAGTGTGCAAAGCTGTCATCAAGGCAAAGGGTGGCTATTTGAAGAATATAAAATATAAAATTTGTTTAACACTTTTTTGGTTACTACATGATTCCATATGTGTTATTTCATAGTTTTGATGTCTTCACTATTATTCTACAATGTTAAACATTTAAAAAAATAAAGAAAAACCCTTAAATAAGTAGGTGTGTCCAAACTTTTGACTGGTAGTGTACATTAAAACCAGGTTGACTCTCTCAGGCAGAATGAAAACAACTACGTTAACCATGATCCTTTGCTAGTTACGGACACTTTTTTTGTGTCAGTTAGCCCTATTCAGCAATATGGCGCGCTTCAAATTAAAATACTTCCGGCTTCATGCGCCATCAGGAGTTTTCATAGAAATACATGGATGACCTCAGCGCGATCACCATCTACTAGTTTTAATGTCTATGCTCCTCACCTCCTGCCTCTTGGCGTCCAGGCCCAGCAGGCTGACGAAGCAGCTGATCTGTAGCAGGAAGTCAATGAACACAGCTAACCCAGCAAACAGGGAGAAGGTCCGCACCGCTGGCATAGTGGACAGGGCCCCTGGAGAGGAAAATAGTAGGTAACTCATTGACAGAGCTCCGGACTAAAGACTGTGGTTACAAAACATTTGCAGTCAATACTGAAATCCATAGAAATGACCTAGCTGACATCTTCAATTATCTACACCTAGTGTGTTGAGACATACTACTTGGATACATTATACAATATGTTTTGATTGTTGTATAATGTATGATAATTATAATTTGGTGGTTGCTTATATTTGTCCCATTTCACACATGTACAAGTGTGTTTTAATACGCATGTGTGAATTGGAAATGTTTTTTCTATATATATTTTTTATATCCCAACTCCCCCTGAGAAACCCTCAGAGTGGGGTCACAGCCAGGGTCTGCCATTATCAACGGCGACCATGGAGCAATTAGGGTTAAATGCCTTGCTCAAGGGCACATCAACAGATTTTGCACAGTCAGCTCGGGGATTCGAACTAGTAACCTTTCGGTTACTGGCCCAACGCTCTAACGCTAGGCTACCTGCCTTCCTTAGTATGCCAAGTAGTGTGTCAACACTAGAGGTGTTAAGGTAGGGCTGTGGCGGTCACATAATTTCATCAGCCGTGATTGTCAAGCAAATAACTGCCGGTCTCACGGTAATTGACCGTTACTTAACATAAACACATTTAGCATCTCCTGGCTTCCACACATATCATACAAGCCACTGATGCAGACCTTTGGAACATCTACATTAAAAAAAGTATAATAAATCCATGTAATATAGCCTACACCTTCACAATAAATCCATTATTCATTTTAGACAGGTCTAACGAAACATGATATGAAGAAAATGTAGTCCATTTCAGAAGAACAGAATAGCATACTCTTGAGTTGTCCTTATGTTAGGTCCTGATCTGGCTATGTCATATTGCTGTAGGCTACAATAGTTCATTTAGCAGACAAGATTTGCTTAGAATTTCGTGGCATTATTTTTATAGTATTTTATAGTAAGAATACAATTGAACAAAGCTGAATAAAATAGAATGGATATTTTCTCCAAACAACATGCAGCTATTCTGTGTTAAGCGGTTAACAAAGAAACAGGTACTCCTATATGCTTAATTTAGAGTTATTTATGTAACTTTAGTTGCGATACAAACGTTGGGTTATATGTTTTGATTTTTAATACATTCTAAGGCTGCATGATGCGACTAATGATGATTTGAAAAAAGTTGCATGAAAGGCATGAGCTTTCATTAATTTTTTTGTGCAGGCTGTACACACTTCATCAGTCTCTCATTCACAATTTGACAAGCACTTGATAATGCCTCGAATTTCTCGACAGAATCCTCTTTGTGTGGCCATAATGTCCCCTGAAAAAAAATCCATGCCTTTTACAGCCAGTGGCCGTTGTGCCCTTGGGCTGAATGTAATCATTATAATTCCCTTTTCCCTGCATGCTGAGTGCTCCGAAGCACCTCTCACTCACATGGCTCTCCGTCAGGTGATCGGGTCTTTCTCACAGGCTACAAGTGAAGACAGACACATCCGGGACGCAACTGCGCGCGTCCATATCCAATTCCGAGGCGCATATTGAAGATATTGGAAGAACTGTCCACATTTACTTTGTCAGCCAACAAGATGAGTAGGCCTAACGAACAGCAAAAGCACTAGCCTATGTCAATCTACTATCTCCAATAATACAAAAATTGACCTATTCTGTGCGAGAAATAAATATTCCAAACATAGTCTGGGACAGTTGTGGGATGCAATAGATCCCAAATAAATACAACCACTAGCATCAAAAAAACGTTTTTAAACAATGAGGCTGATGCAACAGATCAGAACATTTAGCTTAAAATGTTGATAAACTATTAGGCTATTTCTTCACATTATAAGCGCAGCAATGCGCACACGGCAGTAGGCTTAAAGCGCAAATGATTGTAGAAAGCTGATGGGATCCTCCTCTTTTTAATAGAGCCATCACTCTGTTTTCTCATGCAATTGCATAGCCTATAGAAATGTTGCGCAACATGAGCTCATGGGCTCTCATTAAGTGTTTGATTCGATTTTTTAGAACATTGATGTCAGAGTGATTAGAGGGACAATAGAGTGCTGAGTACCAGGCAGTTAGCAAGTTTGGTAGGCTACTAATGACCATCAGCAGCATCAGAGCTTGGAGAAGCCTAATTACCGTGACTAAACGGTCACATGGAACTTGACTGCCTTCATGACTCGTGACCGCCGGTGTGGCGGTAATATGGTCACCGTAATAGCCCTAGTTACAGGTAATTCTCGTACCCAGGAAGAAAGCCACTGTCTCAGAGAAGGAGGAGAGGAACATGCTGGGAGCCACGTCTCCAAGGATACGGCCTATCTGCTGGTGCAGCTCCTCTTGAGGCATCCGCTCATCCCTCTGTACAACACAACACACACAGGTGGTCAATACAGTGTGTGTATGTGTAAATGTGTGTGTGTGTGCAACAAACAGAGTTAACACTGGTGTTCACAGCTATGTCCAACAAATCATGGTTAGTGTAGTCAGACAACCATAATGCCTACCTGGTATGTCTGTACGATGATGAAGATGTTGTCGACGCCCACGGCCAGCACCAGGAAGGGGATGACCTCGATGACGATGAGTGTCAGAGGGACGCCAGCGTAGCTGAAGATGCCCAGAGAACAGGCCACTGAGCTCAGCACGATCACGATGCCTGCTATGCCCAGGGAGATCTTAGAGTCCACCTGGGAAGGGACAAAGACAATGACTTGCTCGCATTTGACATTTTAGTCATTTAGCAGACACACTTATCCAGAGCGACTTACAGAAGTGAGTGGATACATTTGCTCATACATTCACTCATATCCCTTTTCTGACATTTGAGTTCCTGAATGTATTATTAATTCATTATCAATGCTTTCTAAATTAGTTTTACCAACTCACATCGCAAATGAAATGATCTTCGCAAATTAAACAGATATCATGTTACTAAATGAAATGGTGACAAGGTGAACAGCTGGACAATACACTATTGTAAAGTCTGAGTTAGTCGTGTCACCAGTAGGCATCTGAAGCGGTGGATATGCCCCAGAGCCAGGGAGATGTAGACAAACATGATCTTACTAAATTAAAATCAACTATTATAATGTCTGAAGTTAGTTCCTACTAACCAGTACTCTCCTGAAGCTGTGGATATGTCCTAACGCCAGAGAGATGTAGACGAACATGATAGCATAGCTGACCACGACGGTGCTGAGGTCACTTTCGCTCTCGCGGTTGATCTCGTCCTCGATGCTCCGCTCAGAGTTAAAGGAGATGGTCAGGTTTGGGTTGCTATAGTTCTTCAGGAAGCTGATGAATCTGGAAACAGAGACATGGAGGGTGGTGTTATTGCAATGGCAACTCATGGCACAAAACCAAACCATATTTGACTTGTGAAATATGAAATTCCTTTACTCTATACACTAGCATCTGAAGGTTGATAGCTGACAAAGTATGAGATTATTGCTCACTCTTTCTCCCAGGCCAGAGCTTTCCCCAGCTTGACAGTGTCGTTATGGTAGTTGTTGACAGGGAACGTGATCACTAGAGCTGTGGCGTTGTTGTAGTTGGTGGCTGCAGTGGGGAAGAAAGATGCAAAGATGACATGGTCAGGGAATTTGTGTTGACAGTAGACACATTTCAATAGTCAACTACATTAAACCGTATAAAAACTACAATAAACTATAGTAAATCAATAGCGAAGATACTGAAGGATCGCATATCCCAAGGGATAGATTCAAAGCTGCAAACAGTCAGAGACAGCTAATTACATCCAATTATACACAGGTCAATTATCAAATACCTATTTTTTTGGTCTCTGCCTAATAAAAAATATAAAAACATTTGTGTTTAAACTGACTATATAAAAGGAGTTGTGCAATAAAGTTAAGCATTTTTAGCACTGACAAGTTTTCCCAATTCAAACATACAAATAATACACTTAAACATACCCACAGAAAAAGCAGCAAAAAATAAATACATTGCCCACTGACTAGTACATTATATTTATTTGTGTGATGATGTAAACGCATCCCCACTTACCATCATAGCCTCCCAGGACCAGCCAGGGGAAGACGGGGCCTCCGTAGGTGCCCAGGCATGGATCATGGAGCACACTGGTGTCGTTGAGGGATGCTGGGGCACTACACAGGAGAGACCGAGAGAATGCTTTAAGAACTGAGGTAATATACACAAATCGATGACTACTATTCACCATTTACAGCTATGAGTATTTACTTGCTGAAGGGAAATGAGGAGAAAGAAAGAGATTTTTTTAATGTGCAATATCAGAACCAATCTCTCAATGTGAATGATAGAGTTGAGAGTTGGAGAGGAACTCCAACTAGTATAACCTCATGAGTTCAGCTGCATTCCCCAGGTGCAGATGTCACTAGAGAATGTGTTCTGAGGGCCACCCACCTGACGCAGTAGAGGAAGTGTGTGTGGTAGTCTGCGAAGACGTAGAAGTCATCTCCTATGCTACGGTCCAGCTGTTCGTGGCTGTTCTGGAAGTAGTTGAGAACACTGAGGATGGTACAGTTGTCGTTGTAGGGGGCTAGCGGGGCCAAGCAGATATCCTTTAGGGTCACCTTCTGGTCCCCGTATGAGGCCACTATGTTTTCTATGTCCGTCTGGAGATCCAACACCTGAAAGATGAGAGATTGTTTTTCCCTCTAATTCTTCCACAAACTAAAGCTATAAAATGTCACATCAGAACTAAGGCAAGGACCAAAGATGTTTTCCTGAAGAGAAGAGCCTCCACAATTGGTCTACAAGAGCGAATATATTCTTGGCTCTCAGATAGTTTGAAGCAAATGTCCAGAACCCATAATCCCATTCAAAATGCTACAACAATTCCATCTGAAAGTATCAATCACACATCAATCAATCACCACCCAGCCTAGTTCCTCTACCTAACCCACCTGGTGGAGGACGTCCTTGTCCAGGGGGGCTCCAAAGGGCACGTCATCCCCCGTGGGGTACGGGGAGTAGATGGATTCTGACTGCAATGTGGTGGTGATGATGAGCTGCTCTGCCCTGAAGAAGGGTCCAAAGTGGCTGTCAAAGTAGTCTTTCTCCTGCCTGGCCTGGCTGCTGGGCGAGGACCACAGCTCCACGGGGTCTGTGGTGATCTTCATGCAGACCAGGCCCCCTGAGCATGCGGCCACTACGACCAGGCTGCCCAGGATGACCATGAGGGGCTGCCGTACACAAAACGAGCCCCAGCGGGTAAAGAGGTAACGCAGGGCGTTCTCGAAGCGCTCGCCCACTGTCTCGCCACACGATGCATCCACTGAGACAGAGAGAGGGAAGGCAGAAGGTTACAGGTCAGATTGCAGCAAGAGCAGGTTTGTAGGTGTCTCAATATTGAATATTGTGCTTGATTATTTTACAAGATGAGACAGAGTCACAACTCATGTCAAATAAAATAGTACCTTGTTCAATGTTTTCATTGTTCCGAGAGTGAGGGTTATTGCTGTCCAATATTGGGCCATACTCAGACTCTATCGTCCTTTTTCTAAATAAGAAAAATACACAAGCATTACATACTGCTCCAAAACAGCACTGATTAAAAGTGTGACTGAAATCTCAGCATCAGTGCCCCTCAGTCAGCACCTGTAGCACCAGGCGCCGATCACGGTTCCGATGAAGACAAGGAGGAAGGCCATGTAGGAGATCCACATGATGACGACCATAGCGTCTATGCCCAGGATGGTCCATGGTGGTGGCAGGGGAGGGGGGACAGGCTGGGGGCCACAGGCCTGGCTACAGTCCTGGCAGGAGCAGGGACCAGAACCGTCCTCCAGACCCTCAGTACAGCCGTATGTCTTGTTGTCCATGGGGGTCATACCGGACACTGGCACGTCTGGAGAGGTGGGGGTGGTACGAGGATGTTATTTGTTGTGATCATTAAAAAGGAACGAAGAAAGAATTAGACAGCAGTACTCAATATTGTGTTAATGTACGTATTACATACACTGAACAAAAATATAAACGCAACGCAATGTTTAGTGATGGTCCCATGTTTCATGAGATTAAATAAAACATCCCTGAAAGTTTCCATACGCACAAAAAGCTTATTTCTCTAAAATGTTGTGCACAAATTTGTTTACATCCCTGTTAGTGAGCATTCCTCCTTTGCCAAGATAATCCAGCCACCTGACAGGTGTGGCATATCAAGAAGCTGATTAAACAGCATGATCATTACACAGGTGCAACTTGTGCTGGGGACAATAAAATGCCACTCTAAAATGTGCAGTTTTGACACAGAACACCACAGATGTCTCAAGTTTTGAAGGAGCGTGCATTTGGCATGCTGACTGCAGGAATGTCCACCAGAGCTGTTGCCAGATAATTTAATGTTCATTTCTCTACTATAAACCGCCTCCAACGTCATTTTAGAGAATTTGGCAGTACGTCCAACCGGCCTCACAACCGCAGACCATGTGTATGGCGTTGTGTGGGCCAGCGGTGTGCTGATGTCAACGTTGTGAACATAGTGCCCCATGGTGGCGGTGTGGTTATGGTATGGGGAGGCATAAGCTACGGACAACAAACACAACTGCATTTTATCTATGGCAATTTGAATGCACAAAAATACCGTAATGAGTTCCTGAGGCCCATTGTGAAGCCCATTGTTTTTTAAGGTATCTGTGACCAACAGATGCATATCTGTATTCCCAGTCATGTGAAATCAATAGATCAGGGCCTAATGAATGTATTTCAATTGACTGATTTCCTCATATGAACTGTAACTCAGTAAAATCAATGAAATTGTTGAATGTTGCGTTTCTATTTTTGTTCAGTGTAATTTCACTGAAACCTGCGACATTTTAAAACAGTGAAATTACAGATCTGATGTACCCTTGTCGGGACATCCAAACCTTGTATGTACAAAGTGCAAATATTCTGTGTTTGTCCACATAATTTCACCTGAGAATATAGGGATGATGGGGAAGGGACTCTGTCCATTGTTGATGTTGAACATGTACTCGATCCAGTTGGTGCCGTTGCAGTCACTGGCGTCTTTCCCACAGAGCAGTGACAAGGCCTTCACGTTACTGGAGGGAGCCTGGACATCCTGACAAGCATTGTACATGGCTGCCAAGAAAGAGGACCAGAATTACATTATACACCTTGGCACTGACCGACATCTGTAGCATTATGTCAACAATAGTTATGTTAGCCAAGGGAAGGGATTGTGTTTTTCCACTCTTCACGCTGTGACCGTCAACTGCATTTTGCCAAATACAGCACAACACAGGGGTGTTAATCTGACCCTTAGTAACCCAAAGAATAGCATAATACAAGGAAATTAAGGAGTTTGTAGAAATCTACTTATCAAGATGTTCACTGGCACTGCTACTCAGTCAGCATACACTACATGTCCAAAAGTATGTGGATACCTGCTTGTCGAACATCTCATTCCAAAATCATGGGCATTAATATGGAGTTGGTCCCCCCGTCACTGCTATAACAACCTCCACTCTTCTGGGAAGGCTTTCCACTAGATGTTGGAACATTGCTGCGGGGACTTGCTTCCATTCAGCCACAAGAGCATTAGTGAGGTCGGGCACTGATGTTGGGCGATTAGGCCTGGCTCGCAGTCGGCGTTCCAATTCATCCCAAAGGTGTTCGATGGGGTTGAGGTCAGGGCTCTGTGCAGGCCAGTCAAGTTCTTCCACACCAATCTCAACAAACCATTTCTGTATGGACCTTGCTTTGTGCACAGGGGCATTGTCATGCTGAAACAGGAAAGGGCATTCTCCAAACTGTTGCCACAAAGTTGGAAGCACAGAATCGTCTAGAATGTCATTGTATGCTGTAGCGTTATGATTTCCCTTCACTGGAACTAAGGGGCCTAGCCCGAACCATGAAAAACAGCCCCAGACCATTCTTCCTCCCAATTTATTTTTACAGATGGCACTATGCAACTATGTCCCCGCCAAACCCAGATTTGTCTGTCGGACTGCCAGATGGTGAAGCATGATTCATCACTCCAGAGAACTCCTTTCCACTGCTCCAGAGTCCAATGGTGGTGAGCTTTACACCTCTCCAGCCGACACTTGGCATTGCGCATGGTGATCTTAGGCTTGTGTGCGGCTGCTCGGCCATGGAAACCCAGATCATGAAGCTCCCGACGACCAATTATTGTGCCGACGTTGCTTCCAGAGGCAGTTTGGAACTCGGTAGAGAGTGTTGCAACCGAGGAAAGACGATTTTTACGCGCTACGCGCTTCAGCACTCGGCAGTCCCATTATGTGAGCTTGTGTGGCCTACCACTTCGCGGCTGAGCAGCTGTTGCTCCTAGACGTTTCCACTTAACAATAACAGCACATACAGTTGACCGGGGCAGCTCTAGCAGGGCAGAAATTTGCCGAACTGACTTGTTGGAAAGGTGGCATCCTATGACGGTGCCACGTTGAAAGTCACTGAGCTCTTCAGTAAGGCCATTCTACTGCCAATGTTTGTCTATGGAGATTGCATGGCTGTGTGCTCGATGTTATACACCTGTCAGCAACGGGTGTGGCTGAAATATCCTAATCCATTATTTTAAAGGGGTGTCCACATACTTTGTATATTTAGTGTAAGTCTCAAACTGTGATCTAGAGACTGTGCCCACTAGCTGGATAACGACCATATGAGTTGGCTCTGACAGCACAAACAGATCTGGGACCAGGAAATGTGCCCCCTCCCCTCACCATTGGCAAATGTCTGTCCAATGTAGTACTGGACTTCCACCACATTGGTCTCGTTGGCAGCTGTGTCATTAGTGAACTTGGTTCCATTCATAAAGTGACTCTGGTGGGGGCTGCAGGTTAGCTCACAGAACAGGTTCATCAGGTTGAAGAAACAGGCTGGGCATCTGGAGATGGAAAACACAGAGTCAGGATAAATGCACTTATTATCATCATCATCATCATCATCATCATCATCATTTATAGAGACCTTTAGAAGGATACAGGTGACAATGATAACATGCCAACAAAGCTACCTTACTGCCAAGGCATCTTGCTAAACTAAATTATAGCTATTACAGGGGTCTGTCCAAGTATGACACAAGTCCTTTTTGCAAAACCACCATGGTACATACCGAGAGAGGAACTGTAGGGGCAACTGAAGGCTCCCTTTCAGAGTCTGGAGCTGCTGGACATCACAGCACAGACTCCGGTTCCCATAGTCATAGCCTGGACACAGCTCCTACACACACACAACAAGAATGGTATAATTTCCATTACCTAACCTGGATTTACTAAAGTAAAACATGTGAGAGAGAACACATTTGAACGTAAGTCATGTGTCATTTCAGAAGTTCACAGAAGACATCTTGAGAACCAGTTCAAAGAAAATGTCTATGGTCAACCTTACCGTGAGCAGGTCATGGCCCTCTGCTGGAAGTGGGATGGGCGGTCCTGTATAGTTGCAGTTGTACTTCTTCCCCTGGACCTTCTCGGACTCCCCACACTCACCGTACCACACACAGTGCTGGGCTTGAACCTGAGAGGAGATAGGTAGGCTACTTATCGGAACTTCCAATTGGTGTTCTGTAGGCTACATACAGTGGCTTGCGAAAGTATTCACCCCCCTTGGCATTTTTCCTATTGGAATTGAAATAGATTTTTGGGGGGTTTGTCTCATTTGATTTACACAACATGCCTACCACTTTGAAGATGCAAAATATTTTTTATTGTGAAACAAACAAGAAAGTCAATACTTTGTAGAGCCACCTTTTGCAGCAATTACAGCTGCAAGTCTCTTGGGGTATGTCTCTATAAGCTTGGCACATCTAGCCACTGGGATTTTTGCCCATTCTTCAAGGCAAAACTGCTCCAGCTCCTTCAAGTTGGATGGGTTCCGCTGGTGTACAGCAATCTTTAAGTCATACCACAGATTCTCAATTGGATTGAGGTCTGGGCTTTGACTAGGCCATTCCAAGACATTTAAATGTTTCCCCTTAAACCACTCGAGTGTTGCTTTAGTAGTATGCTTAGGGTCATTGTGCTGCTGGAAGGTGAACCTCCGTCCCAGTCTCAAATCTCTGGAAGACTGAAACAGGTTTCCCTCAAGAATTCCCCTGTATTTAGCGCCATCCATCATTCCTTCAATTCTCACCAGCTTCCCAGTCACTGCCGATGATAAACATCCTCACAGCATGATGCTGCCACCACCATGCTTCACTGTGGGGATGGTGTTCTCGTGGTGTTGAGTTTGCGCTAGACATTTTCCTTGATGGCCAAAAAGCTTAACTTTAGTCTCATCTGACCAGAGTACCTTCTTCCATATGTTTGGGGAGTCTCCCGCATGCCTTTTGGCAAACACCAAACATGTTTGCTTATTTTTTTCTTCAAGCAATGGCTTTTTTCTGGCCACTCTTCTGTAAAGCCCAGCTCTGTGGAGTGTACGGCTTAAAGTGTTCCTATGTACAGATACTCCAATCTCCGATGTGGAGCTTTGCAGCTCCTTCAGGGTTATCTTTGGTCTCTTTGTTGCCTCTCTGATGAATAACCTCCTTGCCTGGTCCGTGAGTTTTGGTGGGCGGCCCTTTCTTGGCAGGTTTGTTGTGGTGCCAAATTGATTTAATGATGCTCCGTGGGATGTTCAAAGTCTTTCCAGAGATGTTCGATCACGTTCAAGTCCGGGCTCTGGCTGGGCCACTCAAGGACATTCAGAGACTTGTCCCAAAGCCACTCCTGCTTTGTCTTGGCTGTGTGCTTAGGGCCATTGTCCTGTTGGAAGGTGAACCTTCACCCCAGTCTGAGGTCCTGAGTGCTCTGGAACAGGTTTTCATCAAGGATCTCTCTGCTGCCACCACCATGCTTCACCATAGGGATGGTGTCAGGTTTCCTCCAGGCGTGATGCTTGGCATTCAGGCCAAAGAGTTCAATCTTGGTTTCATCAGACAAGAGAATATTGTTTCTCATGGTCAGAGTCCTTTAGGTGCCTTTTGGCAAACTCAAGCGGGGTGTCATGTGCTATTTACTGAAGAGTGGCTTCCGTCTGGCCATAAAGGCTTGATTGGTGGAGTGCTGCAGAGACATTTACATTTTACATTTTAGTCATTTAGCAGACACTCTTATCCAGAGCGACTTACAGTTAGTGAGTGCATACATTTCCATACTGGCCCCCCGTGGGAAACGAACCCGCAACCCTGGCGTTGCAAGTGCCATGCTCTACCAACTGAGCTACAGAGACGGTTGTCCCTCTGGAAGGTTCTCCCATCTCCACATTTCTAAAAACCTGTTTTTGCTTTTTCATTATGGGGTATTGTGTGTAGATTGACAGGGACATTTTTTTATTTAATCAATTATAGAATAAGGCTGTAACGTAACAAAATGTGGAAAAAGGAAAGGGGTCTGAATACTTTCCGAAAGCACTGTATACTTAAAAAAAAATCATATTAGCATTCGTTGTAGCTTAGACCCTGTTTCACATCATCTGTTGTGCCTGCCATCAGTTGAGACACAGCATGCTCTGGAATACAGGGTGGGTGTCATTTTAATCATAGAAATATAATTCATAGATTCAAAGATGGTCGTCAGTCCACCCACCATCAAATTACAATTTAAACGGTCATGTCTATTCTCTATAATTTCAATAGGTTTTCCTATGGAGGATTGACAGTATAATTTAAAACAGATATTCCCATTCAAGTCAACATTCTCTGATGTCTGGACCTACAACCATCTTTGTGGTACCATTTGAAAGTTGAAATTAAAATTATATTCCCATTTTAGTACATTCATCAGCCAAAACATGACACCCACCCTGTATTCAAGAGCATGTTGTCTCTCAACCAATGACGGGCACAACAAACACCTCAGATGATAGAAAATAGGGTCTAAGCTACAACATATACACATTTTTTGATAATTGACATTAAAAGGTTAAATAATGAAATATTGTGTCTTTAAAAAAAAATTATCTAGAAATTATTGAATAGTTTGACAACTCTGTTTGTAAGCTTTACATTCTATCAATTTCAACCATATATCTTTTCCAGTGATGAAGACATGGATGTGACATGGTATGGTGGGGTATGCAAAAGGAGTCACCTTGGAGCACCTTTATCTCTTGAAGGTTTTGGTCACATTCTGAGCACTTCTACTATAGACAAATATGTGTGGAAGGTTTCATTTCATTCAAATCAAAAGGGTTGCTGTCAAAAAGTGATAGAATTCAAATGATTTACCCAAACCCAAATTATATCATTGCTAAATTAAAGCAGAAGTGAGTTGACATCTTGTGCACCTTGGGGTTATTGTCACTATTTTCTCTGTACCACATCTGAGTGTAATATTAGCCTACTATGCACCTCAAAAGGCCCTGTGTTTCAGATCCTAAAATAAAACCTTCACTTCTGCAAATCAGAGGTCTTCCGCTTTCCAATTGTAATCTACTCTTGACGGTTGACTTCCTAGCACGAATGTATCCTGGTTGTACTGACTGATCATGCACAGTACACACTGCGCCCTGTTCTTTTGCATATGTCACTCGACAAACTTGGTTGGTTCCTTTATTGTCACTGTCCGGTGTTTCATGTGAATCACAGTAAGATGCACTCTACGACCAGACTGAACTCACTAATTACATGTTGCTAATGGCATATTACTTCCAACGTGTCTCTCATCAGTTATTACCGAGTGGCGCAGCGGTCTAAGGCACTGCATCTCAGTGCTTGAGGCGTCACTACAGACCCCCTGGTTCGATTCCAGGCTGTATCACAACCGGCCGTGATTGGGAGTCCAATAGGGCGGCGCACAATTGGCCCAGCGTCGTCCGGGTTTGGCCGGTGTAGGCAGTCATTGTAATTAAGGATTTGTTCTTAACTGTCTTGCCTAGTTAAATAAATAAAGGTTAAATAAATAAATTACACTGGCATTTAAAGAGGGGTGTGTATGAAGACTTTAATGCACTTATTTTCTGCCTTTTCTGTGACCAGACCTTGTCTGTGCTCCTCCTAGTCTAAAGCCTTGTTCACATTGCTGAGCCTACACCACTGCGTACACACCCGTTGCTACTATGACAACTTGCGTAGCCATAGATAGACACAGCGAGGCATGTCTTAATGTGACCACGCCTCCGAGTAGGGTACAGCAGTACGAACCCACAACCCATGCTCTACCAACTGAGCTACATCCCTGCCGGCCATTCCCTCCCCTACCCTGGACAATGCTGGGCCAATTGTGCGCCGCCCCATGGGTCTCCCGGTCGCGGCCGGCTACGATAGAGCCTGGATTAGAACCAGGATCTCTAGTGGCACAGCTAGCACTGCGATGCAGTGCCTTAGACCACTGCGCCACTCCTAACCGTCTGTATTCTTTTTAAAAATATTATTCAATAAAAAAAATTGCATATGCTTGGTTGGTCATTTTTAACATTCTTCCATGTCGTCTTAAATCAACAAACTACATACCTAAAAACACTTTTATTCTAAAACGTAAAAATGTTAGCATGATCAGAGACTGTCGCATGGAACCTACATCACGATTATCAGCCAAAGAGCCGAAAAGCTGTGGTGTATTCATTACGGAAACCGTTTACCATTGAAGAACAAAACGGAAGCAAACAGAGCAAAACTAGAGTTTCTATTGTACAAATTCAGGTAGGTCCTTCCCCGTTTCGTTCCATTTCCTTCAGTTTAAGAAACACTTTGCAACAGAATACGTCCCTGTTGCGTACCATTTTTGTTTGAACAATAGTAGGAGAAAAGACCACCAAATTAAGTTTCATCAACTGCTCAAGGACCAGGTTAGACTAACCTCATCGGTTCAGGCTATTACGCCGTGGTGATGGAAAGCTGTGGCCTCCAGTTACTCAATACATTTAGCTACAGTGCATTCGGAAAGTATTCAGACCCCTTTACTTTTTCCACATTTTGTTACGTTACAGCTTTATTCTAAAATGTGTTAAATTGTTTTTTCCCCCACTCATCAATCTACACACAATACCCCATAATGACAAAGCAAAAAACAGGTTTAGAAATGTTTGCAAATGTATAATAAAAAACGGAAATATCACATTTACATACAGTAAGTATTCAGACCCTGTATTCAGACCCTGTACTCAGTACTTTGTTGAAGCACCTTTGGCAGCGATTACAGCCTCGAGTCTTCTTGGCTATGACGCTACAAGCTTGGCACACCTGTATTTGGGGAGTTTCTCCCATTCTTCTCTGCAGATATGCCAAATAAGTTTAAAAACTACTTGAGGGCAAATAAATCAGATTTGACCATTCACACAAGTCGCATGGCCTCGAACCAGATTTGTATCCGATTTCAAACCACCTACAAAAGTGATTTGAAATGTGGCTTGAAATATCTGATTCCATGTGCTTTTTGGCTGGCTGTCCAGACTGCAGGAAAAATAACAGATTCAAATCTGATATGATTTAGATTTGTATTTGAGTAACTTCAAACTGACAATGTGAACAAGGCTTAAGCCTCTGTTCAGAGTCTGACACATTGTGTTTCTATGTGGGGCGAAGTTCAAAAGGTACCCGCCATCCACCACCAAACCAGCTGCCTAGGAGGAGGATGGCACACGTAACAGGCTAAGTAATGTCAAATGAAATTGTATTGGTCGCGTACACATATTTGCAGATGTTATCGCAGGTGCAGCGAAATGCTTGTGTTTCTAGCTCCAACAGTGCAGTAATACCTAGCGATACAAAACAATACACAAATCCCCCAAATAAATGTCTGGTTAAAGCAGGGCAATCCCGAAGAGCAACTCCAGTTACTTCCTTGACGATACAGGTCTCCCATTACAGTCGTTTTCAGTATCCAACATTTGTGTATTGCTACCCCATATAGCACTGTAGCCAAACATTCTGTATGTTAAAGTTAATTGCCCTTTTGCTGCATGTTGTTGTGAAGTGTATGGGAAATGATTTGACTATAGGAATGAGGTGGACTGATCAACTTATCTTATGGATGCAAATGACTGCGCGAGTACAAAGATAGCGCTTGTCAATTTAGACAATGGGCTATTGAATTCCATTCCACGAGAGAAAATCTGATCAAAACATGACAGTTGTGTTTGTTGGATTCATGTATTTTTAGCAAAAGTTGTTTTATATTGAAGCAGGAGATGGAGGACGCGCATCAGTGGCTTTGAAGATGTCTCACTCTCACTTGAATCAGAGTACAGATTTTTGCATGTAAGCCCATGTCACGCAAATATTTGATTTGAGATAAACAGAGGTGGTTATTTGCTTTACCTTGCTGAGTAGCTAACGTTAGCTGCATTTGACGAATGAGTTTCGAGCTACATGACAATCCCGTGACAAGTGACGCAAAATATTTCGTAATGTCTGGGCGGTTTGCTTACAAGCTAGCTCAAAGAGCCATAATTAGCTTAGCCAGGAATCTCCTAAACAAGGGTTCCCCAACTGGTGTTTTTACAATCTTATGTCCAACAATAAAAAAGAACAATTTGGTTTTGTTCTTTTTTTAATTGTTGGACATAAGACTGTAAAAACAACAGCAAATCAGCTCCAAGTGACTTTACATTTTGGAAATCAGTTCCAAAGTATTGCCAAACAATAGATATATGTGATCGTATACAAATATAAGCAAGGTTTTAAATTACTATGTTTTAGTCAAATATATATTGCAGTCTACAAATTATTTGTAATCATGTTCCGGTCCCCTGACCATCCGCTCAATAAGAGATCGTCCAACGGCTGAATCTAGTTGATGATCCCTGTCCTAACACGGAGCACGATCACATGATGTCCAAAACTAGCTGCTTGTACAATTTGTAGCTGGGAGCTGAATCTAGTTTATTGATGCTACCTAACACTAACTAGCTAGTTACGTTAGCAAGATAATTTACGCTGAACAAACACACCACCTTGTAAACATGAACAGGACTTGCTTTGGGTAAGCGAACTTGCTAGCTTTTTGACACTGATTTAGCTCGCTTGACACACTTTAGTTAGTTATTAGGGGTGTGCCGTAGTAGCGTTAGCGTTACCGGTGAATGAATCAACAAAGCAAGCTAGCAAACGCTTACTGCAAGCAACCGGCAGCTTGCTAACCATACGCAACAAGAAGAGATTAGCTAGCTAGCTAGCTCAATAAGTCTATAGAAAGCTATTTAATACGTAGGTGGACTTACCCATTTATAATGCCCCTCTGTCAAAATTATGAAGAGGAAAAATAAACATAAATTGCTTCTTTCTGATAAGAGCCCCATCCCTCTTACTGTCACAAATACTTCACTGGCATTCCAACTAATGACTATCGTTATAGTTAGCAATATGAACCCCCAAAAAAATCGGCGTTTCCTGTTATTGCGCTAGTCTTCTTCATTACGACATTGGTGACTGGAGAACAACCATTTGGCACACTGCTGCCACCTAAAGGATTGGAAAGTACGAGCTCTAGTCACATTGAAATGTTGTTGTTTTTTACTTTGACACATGTTTTGTTTTTCAACTAGAAACCCTTTAATTATCTTGTTTGTTCAGCTAAATAAAACAGGTTGAAAAACACTCTCAGATGAGCTGTTGAACAGTGTAAATATGTCTTTAAAGAAAACGAGAAATAGTTAAATATAAAACGTTTTATTCATTTTCACTTTGAAATGAAAATTATAGTTCATGAATAAGTATATATTTATATATAAAGTGGCAAGACCATTTAGATGAGGAATGTTGATAGGATAATTTATAGGTGACCATATTGAGTATATTGTACACAGCATAATCTCACATTTATCTGTACATGTACCTTTGTCGAACAGCAGGCTCTCAAATGTCAAGTAACTATTTCATATATTCCTTTAAAACTAGGAAAGAGATTCATTTTGAAAGTTTGAGTTCCTGCAAGAGTGCAAGACTTTAAAGCTGTTAGAAGATTTACAGATGTAGTGTCAGAACTAAAGACCCAACTGTACAAAACAATAATAAGCACAGATGTACTAATATTGATGCTTTTACACTGGGGCACCAACAGGGGACAGTGTATCTCCCATCTGGCCATATAATAAAGGCTATAGAGCACTCAAATTAAAATCTGGACCTCGAAGCCAGTTTCACTGCTTTTTTCATTATTTCCCTCTAATCAGAGACTGATTTAGACCAGGGACACCAGGTGGATGAAATGAATTATCAGGTAGAACAGAAAACCAGTAGGCTCCCGACCTCAGTGTAAGATTTGAATACCCCTGCTATAGAGCCTTCAGCAGAGTCATCTCTAGCAACATTTGACATTGTTGTGTCCTCATGAACCCCTCCTTCAGAAAGAGTGCCGTCATGATTCAGAAGTTCCTCCATCAATGAACTCCATGGACCAGCCACCATCAGACTGATGAGAGCCTCCTCCTTCCCACTTCTAACACCAACGTTCAGCAACATTTGACTCCAGTGGGTCTCAAACTGCAGGTTCCACACAGAAGAGCCCAGACATCTAACTGTTGTTCTAACAGTTTCCAGCCCTTAAGCTGTGGAAGCTAAATATCCAATAATACTATGTACTCAATACACCAATCCTGTATCAGTGACATCTTTAAGTACCGTTTATGTGTAGGCAAGAAAAGGGTGTGCTGCCACATATAATAGTATTTCTGGAGCATCTGATACCAAGGATTGAAGGATACACTATTTTGTCTAGTAATAGTGTTTCTCCTTTTATACATTCTGATCACAACTTTTCATTGTGCAACATGACAACTCTTATGGGTTTCCGATAGGGGCTACAGTATCTCATAGGCCTAAGGTTTTCTCTTGGTTGTTTGAACACAATGGAGTGGAATACACCCAGACCTAGAGCCTCATTTCTATCACATGATTCACATCTCTATCTGTTCAGACTCAGTTTGAAATGGAAGAGGTTTTGGAATGAGGAGAGTTTCGCAGTACTATACAATACTACAACTGGCGAAACAAAATGGAAAGCTGCACTTATCTCACTTCTGGCTTCTTTAGGCAGGGATAAATACAATGCAAAGTACAATCCAATCCATGGTACTGCTACCCCTCCTAAACAAAGACCTCATGTCTTCTCTCAGTAGGATAGAGAGCCTTATTCCCTGGTGTCTCATTCCCTCCACAGTGGGAGTAGAGGGGATAATAGGACTCAGTTTGGGCCCAGGTACTCTGCGTTCTCTGCGGCCGGGATGTGGGTCTTGATGGAGGGGGTGAAGTCCTGCTGGTAGTCTGGGTTATCTATACTGTTCTGGGGCTGGTATTTCTGGACGCAGTGGAGACCACCATTGGAAGTGGGGGAGAGGCCATTGCAGGTGGGAGAGAGGAGACCATTGGACATGGGGTAATGGCCGTTAGCAGTTGGGTTGAGGCCATTGGAGGTGATGGGGGAGATGCCATTGGAGGTGGTCGGGGAGAGGAGGGGGGGCTGGAGGGTGTTGAGGTACTCAGGCCCAACCGCCCCGTTCTTATAGCAGTTCAGGTACTCTGCCTCTGTGTCGTCTGAGGAGATGGTGGGGAGGAGGGTGCGAGGGGGACCAGGGTGCTGGTATACAGGGTTCATCATGTCCGAAACTCCGTTCTGGTTAATGTAGTCTGTGGGGGCAAAATTACAGGAGTTACTTACTACAGCAGGAAAACAAGCCCTCTGTGTACTAAGTGGACATACAGTGAATGAAACGTTAAATTGTAGTTTTGTAAGCAATGACAGAGGTGCTCTACTTGGAATATGAACTACAGCTATTGCCCAGCAGAGGTCACTCTTCCTTTCAAAATAATACATTACTGTTTTATTTTAAAAGGAAGGTGTATCACTATATTACATTTACCAGACGCTCTTATCCAGAGCGACTTACAGGAGCAATTAGGGTTAAGAGCACATCGACAGATTTTTCACCTAGTCGGCTCGGAGATTAGAACCAGCGACCTTTCGGTTACTGGCACAACGCTCTTAACCACTAAGCTACCTGCCGCCCCATTATATCCAATGACATTAGCCATGTTCTGGGGTTAAGACCCTTTGGGAGGTAAAGGAGGATACTTGCCTGGAGCTGGCTGGAAGGCGTGGTCCAAGAACCTGTCTGTGGGGTCAGCAATGTACCGGAGAACCATGCTCCCTTCTCTGACTGGGAACCCGTTCTAGGTAAAATAAAAATGTTGTTGACCCAAAGCCACACCTTAACTGCAAGTATCCAATGAATTAGAGATCAGTTGTTTTGAATGGTGAAAGACTATGTCAATACTGCAAAGTTTCCTTTTCAATACACCTCAATGTGCATTTGTGATGGTTACTGACTCTCTTACCCCATTTCTGCTGTGGCACAGTCCAATGCTGCTGTTCAATGTGCTGTTCTGGCTCTGAAACACAGATTCACACTCAGGTCAACACTTCCATTTACATCTGAACACACATGGTAAAATCCCACAAAAACACATACTCATTACTGTAGACATACTTCTTATAAGCTCTTGGTAGTTCTTTACAGTAATGTTTCGAAAGGTCAAACCTTTTAATTTCATAAATGTGTATGAAGAAGATGGTAAAATAAAAGCAACCACAATGAATAAATAAAAAGAGTGACAAAACAGCTGAGACATATTTCATTATTTTCGACAGGCTGAATAAGAGGAAATGGGACTAAGTTAAACAGGCGACCATCTGTGTAGTGAACCAAACGCTGCTATTATAAAAAATCAGGTTCCTGCACTTGTATTCTGCCAGAAAATTATTTAATAAGTAGTGCTGCCTGCAAAAGTAATCAAAGTTGAAAGCTTATGGAGTAACCAGCCGGCTTTCAGTGGCAGGCATAAGTTCCTAGATATACGGCCAACACTGGACCTCTTGGAGATGAGTCTTAAGACAGACAGAGAAGGAAAGAGAGATGATTTCTCCTCATCTTAAATGCCATTAATCAAGGGGCACCTGGGAGGAAGCAGGGGTGAGGGGGGAGAACAGAAATAGGACGGGGGAAGAAGAAGAGTACCCCTGATGACAATTTAACAGGAAAGATTGGGTGATTGAGGGGAGTCTGGTTCAAGCCAGGTATGACCCGGTATGAACGCCCACGTCAATGTAATTTACTCTGTTTCCTCCCCAGCCTACGTACACCATGATTCAATTTCACCACAATGGCAACAGGGGCTAACTATGAACTTGAACTGGGAGACGCAGTATCAACATGACCTGACCTGGTTTCATCTAGTTAAATACAGGATAAATAAATAAACAAAGAGAATGTTCTAGCCTTTGGAGAAACAATTCACCACAAGGTTGTTGGTTCTAATCCAGGGTGTAGGGAAACCTAAATTGCCTCCAGTAGTCTAAATTGCCCAATTACGTCCATTTTGGAGGTGGATAACAACATTCTGCAGACCCTTCTTTATAAAAGAACAGAGAAGAGCTGTGAGCATAAAAAAGTGAGACATAATGGAATCACTTTTCTTTGATTCAGTGCAATGATGTCATATTATCCAGTTCCTGTAATAGACTAAAAAACTATTCTCTGCGTTAGAAATGAGCGCAGAGACAGAGAGCCAGTGGCTGGTGGAAACCTTTTCTTTGGACTGGTTTACCGGATTCAGACTCCTGGACTTATCCCCATTGAACATGCATTTTAGTCTAGTCGTAGACTATGTCCGGGAAATTGCCTCTTTTTCAGTTACAAGTGTCTGCCACATAGCAGTAGATGATGGCTAGCCTAGTTGATGTGTTATTGTACCATATAATGTAGGAGCTGTGTGCTGAAGGTGCTGAGGTATATATTACTATTATTGTACCATAGAGTATAGGAGCTGGGTACGGGATGTACTGGGGCTACTGAAGAAGCCATGCTGAGGCACCAGGTACTCGTCTGCATCCACAGCATCTTCCATGTCCTCTCCACTGATCAGACTGCGGTAGAACTTGTTGTCGGTGGGGCTGGGGAGGTGCATCCGGTCGTCACCCTGGAAGAGACACACACAACTCACCATCAGTACCAAAAGACCAGTCAGAAAGAATGATAGAGTAGCTAGGTGGTTATTCACTAACCTTACAGTGTCTGAGGGAGTCTAATAGGTTTGTGTTGTGTGTGACTCTACAGTTATTCCTGACAAAGGAGTTAAAATGCTTACCTGGATGACAAGGTAACGTGGGGGATCCCGCGCCATCTTGGAAAACTCCGCTATCAGCTCCCGGAAACGAGGCCTGCTGTCTGCGTCGATCATCCAACATTTGACCATGATCATATAGACGTCTATGGTACAGATGGGAGGCTGGGGCAGCCGCTCCCCTTTCTCCAGCACCCCTGCTATCTCATTGGCTGGGATGCCGTCATAGGGCTTGGTCCCAAACGTCATCAGCTCCCACACGGTCACACCTAAACAGAGG